TTTTTTAAATTTTGCTTTATTAATAAAAAAAAAAAAACTTAAAAATATAATTTGGGAATTTTTAAATGAAAATGATTTTAAATTTTTTGTTTTTAAAAAAAAAAAAATTGAAAATTTTTTTTTTTTTTTAATTTTTATTATAAAAAAATTTTTTTTTTTTTATTATAAATAAAAAAAATATAATTTTTTTTTTTTTTTTTTTTTTTTTTTTTTTATAAAATTAATTAAAAAAAAAATTAATTAAAAATTAAAATTATAAAAAATATATAATATTATAGATATTTTTCATTTATTTAAAATTTTTTTTTTTTATTTTTTTTTATTTTTTTTTTTTAATTTTAAATATTTATAAGAAATTAAAAATTTAAAAAATATTTTGAAAAATTTATTTTGTAAATTTATAAATATTTTTTAATAAAAATTAAAAAAAGAAAATTTTTATTGTAAAAAAGGGATGAGGGATATTGGAATTGATTGGGGGTTAAAAAAAGTGGAAAAAAATAAAAAAAGGGGGGGGGGGATGGGGGGTATATGGGTGGGGGGGGGTGGTTTTATATAGGAAGGTAAAAAAATTTATATTTTTTTTTTTTTATTATTATTTATTATTTTTTGTTGATAGTTTAATGTGAGGAAAAAGGGAAATAAATTTTTTTTTTTTTTTGTTTTTATAGTTGATATTTATTGGGTGGGATGGGAATATGGGGGGGGGAGGGGGAGAAAGGGTGGGGTAAAAAAAGGGGGAAAAAAAATTATAGAAAAGGATAAAGGGGGGGATTGGGGGGTGGGGGGGGTTAGAAGAGGGGTGAAAATAAGGGAAGCAAAACTGTGGGGAGGGGGGGGGGGGTTGTGGGGGGGGGGGGGGGGGAGGGGGAAAGGAATTTTGGGGTTTTTTTTTTTATAAAAATAAAAAAAATAAAAATTGATTTTTGAATTATTTTTTATTTGGGGGGGATGGGTTGGGGGAAGTAATGGGGAAATTTTTTTTTTGTAAAAAATATAATAAATAAAAAAAAATAAAAAAAAAAAAAAAAAAAAAAAAATATAAATGAAAAAAAAAAAAAATAGGATTATGAATTAGAAAAAATTATATAAAAAAAAAATTTAAATAAAAAATATAAAAAAAAAAAAAAAAAAAAAATAAAAAATTTTTTTTTAATATAAAAAAAAAAAAAAAATATTTTATTTTTAAAAAAAAAAAAAAAAAAAATAAAAAAAAAAATAACAAAAATTTTTTTAATTGATTTTTTTTTTTTTTTTTTTTTTTTTTTTTATAAATAAAAAAAAAAAAAAAAATTAAAAATAAAAAAAAAAATATTAAAAAATAGAAAATTTAAAGATTTTTTGGGGTTTATGGGAGGGAAAAGAAAAGAAGAAAAAAAAAAAAAGAAAAAAAAGTGGAAAAGAAGAAAAAAAATGGACGATGGGTTGATAATCCAAATGCAAGGTAATCTATTTATTTGATAATAATAGAAATAGCTAACCAATTCGATAATAAAGCAAGAAAATTGCTCTAATATTGCTCTAATAGTTAGTGAAATTGATCTACTTTGCCTTTATTGATTCATAAAGGGGTTTTCATAGACGGGGAATCGATTGAAGCTATTCATTTATCGAGTCTTATTGAGTTTAAAAACTTGTCGAACAAAATCCACTAAAAAACTGAACAACAAGAGTTTTTGATTAGATTAAGGATTGAGCAGTTGATCAAGATCAAGATCAATTGCTCAATGGGTTGATAATCCAAATGCAAGGTAATCTATTTATTTAATAATAATAGAAATAGCTAACAAAATCGACAATAAAGCAAGAAAATTACTCTAAGATTGCTGTAATAGTTAGTGAAATAGATCTACTTATAGCCTTTATTGATGTATAAAATCTTGCTCAGAGCTTTTCAATCTTACTCAGAGCTAAATTAAGATTGAGATTCTAAGCTTTGCTTAGAGCTTTTAAAGCTATTTTATTACTTTCATAGTCATTTCTTTGAGTAGATTAAGAATCTAAAAGAAAATTAACCCAAGAAACTTTAAGATCAGGATTGGAGATTGGAGTAAGCATAAAGTCTTATTCCATAAAGTCCCAAAAACCTTTTTCTATAGGATATAATCATCGTTTTGTAGTTTTCAATTCAATTTAATAAGCTATTGTATTACTTTCATAGTCATTTCTTTGATTGGATTAAGAATCTAAAGGAAAATTAACTCAAGAAAGTTTAAGATCAGGATTGGAGATTGAAGTAAGCATAAAGTCTTATTCCATAGTATTATTCCATAGTATTATTCCATAGTATTATTCTATAAAATCTTATTCCATAAAGTCTTATTCCATAGTCTTATTCCATAAAGTCTTATTCCATAGTCTTATTCTATAAAATCTTATTCCATAAAATCTTATTCCATAAAGTCTTATTCAATAAAGTCTTATTCAATAAAGTCTTATTCCATAAAGTCTTATTCCATAGTCTTATTCCATAAAGTCTTATTCCATAGTCTTATTCCATAAAGTCTTATTCCATAAAGTCTCAAAAACCTTTTTCAATAGGATATAATCATCGTTTTCTAGTTTTCAATTCAATTTAATGAGTAGAATTTGAATTTTTCAATTTTTAGAAGCTTCTTCTGCTCTTTAATGAGTCTCCTTTACGCTTTAATGATTATTGTTGTAGCAGTTGTGATCGAGATTTCTCCAACTTTCAAAAAACGTCTTTATCTTGGTGAAACGGTATTTTAAAAAATGATGAATCTTTTAAATAAATTTCTATAGATTTTTCATATTTGGATGTACGGCATTGGTACAATGTTTTTTGTTTATTGTTATGTATTTATGTTAAATCCTGGATGGTTTCGTTATGCTCAAAAGCTTTTTTACAAGATTGGATGGACAAATGAAGATGCGGTAAGCTTTAGATACCTTTAGATCGATATTTTAAACTCAATTTTCTAGAGTTGGTCACTTGAAAAGACTTCACATACAGCTGAAGGAGCCGGGAGTCTCTATTTAAGGCTTGGAGCAATGGGTAATTTTATTTTAAAGCGTTAAAGCGTTAACTTTAAAATTTTAAAAAAGCGTTAACTTTAAAAAAGCTTTAAATTCTAAGTTCAAGTTAAGTTTTATAAGTAAAAACCCTATTGTTATCGTGCCGTAAATACTGTAACAGTAAATATTGAAAAATTGTTTTAATAAAGTTTTAATGCAATGAATTTTGTTAAAAAAGTCGAGTTTTTGAGAGTATTCAAGGAGATCCACAAAGTAAATCAATTCAATAGCTCACAGAGTATTTAGTAAATACATTCTAACTACCGTAAATACTGTATTAGTACCCCACCGCCCTCGTACAGTCGCGTAGTCGCAAAAGTTTTTTAGTATTTCATTTTTTTTCAAAGCGCCCGTACTTTCAAAAAAAGCGTCTTTGGTATGAAAAAATAGCCCTGAATTCCAGCTATTTTTTGATAACTAAGCGTCCATTGTAGCATAAACCAGTGTCGAGAAAAACACGTTCAAAGCTAGACTACACAACACTCCGCACCGTCATTATGCGAGTGGGGTACTATTACAATATTTACGGTAACAGATAGATATAGATAAAAGATTCTTTTTAAGTCATCGTGTAATTGCACAGAGTTTTTTATAGTACCTGAATCTCGAGAACAGTGGCATTTGTATAGGGGAGAGTGTTCTTGTCAGCAAGTGAAGGCAGCCTCTCATTACCAACAGCTGATAGAATCTCTTGACGGCATTTTTCCTAAGGATCGGTTTCTTTTTTCATATTTCTGTTATTAAAAATATCAAAACAATAATTCTTAGTCAAGTCTACTCGAGCTACATTGGTCTAAAGCTAAGTTAAAGTTAAATTAAAAGTTAAATTAAAAGATAAAATTTAAATCCTCGTACAGTCGCAAAACGCAACACTCCGCAACGTCATTATCTTTGGTATCAAAAAATAGCTCTGAATTTCAGCTATTTTTTGATACCTAAATGCGCATTGTAGCATAAACCACTGTCGAGAAAAACTCGTTCAAAGCTAGACTACGAAACACTCCGCACCGTCATTATGACGGTAGGGTACTATTACAGTATTTACGGTAATGATTTATTTCAATAAAATTTTTTCTAACAATATAAGTGAAGTGTTTTTGGCATCAAATAATCTAACTATTTATTCAGTTTTAATAGATGAAAGTGAATGTTTACTAAAAGCAAATCCAATTCAGTCTTTGGTACGGTAGGAATTGTTTTTCTTGGCATTGAAGTTTTCCCTTTAATTTGCGATCACAATTGTTACTTCTCAATCCTTCAATATAGTAGAAGATAATCTATTCAATAAGATAATCTATTCAATAAGATAATCTATTAATAAGATAATCTATTTAATAAGATAATCTATTCAATAAGATAATCTATTCAATAAGATAATCTATTAATAAGATAATCTATTTAATAAGATAATCTATTAATAAGATAATCTATTTAATAAGATAATCTATTTAATAAGATAATCTATTTAATAAGATAATCTATTTAATAAGAGAATCTATTTAATAAGATAATCTATTAATAAGATAATCTATTAATAAGATAATCTATTCAATAAGATAATCTAAGAATCATAAGATATAATAAATAATCTATTTAATAAGATAATCTATTAATAAGATAATCTATTCAATAAGATAATCTATTTAATAAGATAATCTATTTAATAAGATAATCTATTTAATAAGATAATCTATTCAAGAAGATAATCTATTCAAGAAGATAATCTATTCAATAAAATTCTATTAATAAGATAATCTATTCAGTGATCTGCTTTCAAATAATCTAACTATTTATTCAGTTTTAATAGATGAAAGTAAATGTTTACTAAAAGCAAATCCAATTTAGTCTTTGGTATGGTGGGAATTGTTCTTCTTGGGATCGAGGTTTTCCTTCTAATTCGCGATCACAATTGCTACTTGTCAATCCTTCAATACAGTCTTATCATCATCTTTGCTTTTGTGCAAATGCATTTCATTTTCTGTAATTCAAAGGTAGTTTGTAAATAGTTTTTTAAGAAATATTAGTTTACAGATGGCTATCAAGACCTCGAAATCATTATGCAAATTTGGTATGATGCATAATATTTCTGTCAACATCTTCACCTGGTTGAGATTTGTGATTGTAAAAGCGGTTTGTTTTTAAAAAAACCCTAGTTTTCATGTATTTTAAGCTCAAGAAAAGAACTCTTTCTCGTTTTCTTTTGCTTGAAGAAAGTAGAGAATTAAGTTGACTAGAAATTGTGTTTAAACTAAAGCACAAAGTAAGCACAGCATTGGAATAATAAACTCTCTCTGGCATCCAGTTTTGTTTTGTTTTAACTAACCTCAAAGCTAGTGAAGAAGTAGAATGTAAAGCAGCATTATTGTATTATCAAACTAGATATTTCTTTCTCTTCCTTCCTTTTTTTCCCCATTGTATTTCCTTCTTTCTTTGGTAAGAAGATATAAAATAGTTTAGTGCTTAGAGTATCTCCCTGGAAAGCAAGTCAAGGGCTTAATCTCCTTTCTGTAATCTTTTCTCTGGCAAACTTTTATTTCCCTTTCTTAATTTACTTTCTTAAATATTCAGACAAGCCAACAAAAGAAAAAGCAGCGAAAATTTTTTGAAGGAAATCTATTTATGAATTTATTTTAGCAAATAACAGAAGGATATTCTTAATTTTCAGGCAAGCAAGCACAAGAAAAAGCAAGCGAAAATGATCCCAGTTAGCTCGTCATCTGAAGAAATGGAAAGAGTAATTACTTTACTTTACTACTTTTAAGGAAAATCAATTTTAGCAAATAACAGAAGGATTAACGAGTGTGATTTCATCATTTTATGATATTGAAGCGACGATGAATCCATTAAACGAAACATTGAAGCCCGGAAAAACACTGCATGCTGAGGAGTACTTTGGAGATCTCACAACGTTTTTTGTTACTTGTATTGGTGAGTTTTGCATGATCATTTGATTTGATCCATTTAAATCTACTATATAAAAGATAAATGTCTGTCTGTTTCTTTGTACGGCTGAGATTTCAGCCACCAGTAAACCGAAAGAATTGATAAACAGAAATTTGTGGAAATTGAAAAACTAAGTCAATTAGTTAAGCTGCAGATGGAATAAAGGCTTTTTCTTTTCGTAAATGAGTGAGGAATGAGTGATGCAAGGTCTAATTCCAAATATTTTCTTTACAGATGCAATAGACTGAAAATTATCTCTTTTCGATTAAGTTATTCAACTGATAGAATATCTTTTTTTAGCGTTTATTAGCTTTTTATAAATAAAGGTTTCAGTTGAATACTCACTCATTGGTGCAGCAGTGATGTTTATTATGTGGATGTCAATTGATTCAACTCATCTACATCATTCAACACCTCAAAGAGTGAAGAGAAGAAGTCGAATGAGGATTGATTGCAGGTAAATGGAAAGCAATGAACTTTAAATACCAAAATTCAGCCGTTCATCTACCGGCCTCTTTGGTGGAATCATTTTTATGATTCTTGCATTTGTTTCGATTGGAGTTTACTCGGTGTTTGACAGTGTAAGTCTTGGTTAAGTTTGATTTCAATCAAATTCTTTAATCTTGACTTAATTGATTCATTGATTCGTTTTGAATTAGATCTTTTGACTAATTTCTGATTGATATCATATGTCGAATCGTTAAGTACAAGTAGAACAGTTAAAAGTCGAAGATTGAAGCTAAAAGTCTCTCAATTACTTGTTTTAATCTAATTTCTGATTGATATCATATGTCTAATCGTTAAGTACAAGTAGAACGGTTAAAAGTCAAAGATTGAAGCTAAAAGTCTCTCAATTTCTTGTTTTAACCTAATTCCTGATTGATATCATATGGCTAACAGCTAAGTGCAAGTAGAACAGTTAAAAGTCAAAGATTTGAGCTAAAAGTCTCTCAATTTCTTGTTTTAACCTAATTCCTGATTGATATCTATTAGTTAAGTACAAGTAGAGTAGTCAAAAGTATCTCAATTCAAGTAAAAAGTCAAAGATTTAAGCAAAAAGTCTCTCAAATTTCTTTGAAAGTTTTGTTTAGATGCACGACTTGAGCAATTCAGTTCTCTGTTTCGGTATTATCGATTTGGTGATGTTTGTTTGGGTGTTTCTCGTGTGCATCTTCGGCATTTGGAAGTAAGTTATTAAAAAAGAAAAAAGAAAGAAAGAAAAAAAGAAAAAAGAAAGAAAAAAAGAAAGAAAAAGACAAAAAAAGAATAACTATTGAAAATCTAGTTCTAATTTAGAGTAGAAAGAAATGTAGAAAGAAATATAATTATCTTTATTACTTCAATATCATTGTCTTTATCATTTTTCTCATTTTCCCATTTTCCCATTAACTTAAAACCAATTCAGCAAACTTTTCAAGGTAACATTTTTTGTAGTGATCATTGAATCAGAGTTCTGAGTGAATTGGATTTGTGTTGTGTGGGTTTTTTTTGTAAAAATCAACAACTTCTAAGCGATTTTTGATGGTTTGGTTTGAAAAAGGTAAAAAAAAGAAAATTCTAAAGAATTTGAGAATTGTTTGATGATGAAATAAGCATGAAAAGAGTGATTTTGAAGGCTTTTCTTTCACTTGTTCACTCCAATGAAACAGTGGAAACAAAAATCATCAAGCAGTCACCATCAATGAGTAAATAAACCAGTTTTCTTTTAGGATTGAGAGTTTAGTTTCTTTAGAACATTAGCTTGAAATTTTGGAAACAATGATCACTGTCGACTTACAAGTTCCATCAACTTACAGAACTTACAGAAACATCAACATGAACTTACAGAAAGTACTAGGTAGCAGTAGCAATAGTAGTAATAGGCTTTGTTTACTTAGGCTACTAAAGCAGTAGCAAAAGGCTTTGTTTCACTTGTTCAAAGTTTCTGAAAGGAAAAAAATAGACTTTACTTCTTTATGAATAGCTTAAATGTGAAACTGAATCTATAATACGGTAATTGTGTAATCCAGCTAGTAATCTAATCCAGCTAGTAGTCCAATCCAGCTAGTAGTCCAATCCAGCTATTAATCCAATCCAGCTAGTGATCCAATCCAGCTAGTGATTCAATCCAGCTAGTAATCCAATCCAGCTAGTGATCCAATCCAGCTAGTGATTCAATCCAGCTAGTAATCTAATCCAGCTATTAATCCAATCCAGCTATTAATCCAATCCAACTAGTAATCTAATCACTTTTATAAAGTGATTGAATTACTAGCTTTTACTAAAGTATTTGAAAACTATTAGAAAAAGTTTACGTTTAACAAAAAAAAAAGAATTAAGAATCTAAATTCTATCTATCTTCTATTAAGAATCTAAATCTTCGCTTAGATTCTATTCTATTGCTGAAGATAAGAAATTTAGTTCTGTTTGATGAGTTTGAAATGCGTTTTCATCTTGCAGTTTGACATAGTTGAGGTTAAAATTGTAGTGTGACTCAGTGACTGTGGTTTTGTGTTTGTGATTTCAAAAATCACTTAAAATCTTTCCCAATTCCAGGATGAGAGTGTTACAATACCGCAAGGATCACAGTCATCACAGTGGGGAAATTCTTGACGAGATTCTTCTCGTCATCGGGCTTTTTGGAGAGATTGTGTACTGTTGCATTGGTGAGTTTTCAATTTGAAATTGATCACTTGATAATCGATTTGAATTATTGATAACTTTACTTAGTTTGGTTACCATATTTTCTCTAATAGTAGTGAACCCAGAGCGTCACCTAAATTCCTCGAAATCTCGAGAACCGCTTATCAGAACCTATCGATGTGTGGTCGGAAAAAGTAGCTGACGATGAAATCTAGCGGGGGATTTGAGTGTTGAACTTCTGGGAAAGCTTGGAAACCCGAGAATAGTCATTAACTCGGTTCGACGCGGGCACTGCTATTAGAGAAAATACGGTATTTGAGTATAGATCTACATATATCATACAATCGCGGACATTAACTTGACTTTGTAGATATTGTAGAGCTTTCAATATACCGTATTTTCTCTAATAGTAGTTCACCCTGAGCGTTTCTTAAATTGCTCGAAATCTCGAGAACCGCTTATCAGAACCTATCGATGTGTGGTCGGAAAAAGTAGCTGACGATGAGATCTTGCGGATAATTAGAGTGTTGAGCTTCTGTGAAAACTTTGGAAGCCGTAAAATAGTCATCAACTCGGTGGTGTACTACTATTAGAGAGAATATGGTATATGGATTTGGGATTCAAAGCAACTTCTATTTAATATTCTGGTTTAAAGCTTATTTAGTAGTGCACCCTGAGCGTCGCCTAAATTGCTCGAAATCTCGAGAACCGCTTATGAAAACCTATCGATGTGGGGTCGGAAAATGTAGCTGACGATGAGATCTAGTGGGGGGTTATAGTGTTGAGCTTCTGCAAAAGCTTGGAAACCGTAAAATCGTCATCAACTCGGGTCGCCGAGGTACACTACTATTAGAGAAAATACGGTATACAGTAATCTAACTTCAACTTCTAGATTTCTTAGGAATTCGCTAGGGTTTTTTGAATTATCTACGATCCTCTGGCTCTCTTTTCAATCTAATACAGAAAATATTACAGTCTATTGCATTTGTAAAGAAAATATTTGGAATTTGACCTTAGTAAAAGCATAACTCATTCCTCACTCATAAGGTCACTTATTCACTCATTCGCGTCACTCATTTACGAAAAGAAAAAGCCTTTGCTCCATCTGCAGCTTAACTAATTGGCTGAATTTTTCACTTTCCACAAATTTCTGTTTATCTAATCAATAATCAAGTGGGCGATAGGGCAATAAGCAATAAAAAAAGACAAAAATAATTTGTTGATTGACGGATTTTGAGTTCAATGAAAGTACAGAAACAAGAATTTTCAGCTATTGATCTTTGGATTACCACTCAACAAACGAAAGACCCAATGCCGGGCTATGAATTGCCCGTTTACATCAGCCGTTTAATGGCCGTTTTTGTGCAAGCTGTTTTTATTTTCATAAGTGCAAGGTGAAGATGAAATTGCTCATAAAATATGTACAATTTTTGTTCAGATTGGTGGCTCGTGGCCCGGATGAAATCCGTCAAAAACCCGGCAAACAAGCAGTCACATTCCTCCTTGTCGCCAATGTGACTCTCTTTTTCTTTGCCACTTATGAATCAATGAAGCCAACCCTTCCCTATGACAAATCGGCCGCTGCTTTCCCGTATATAATCTATGGAGTTTCACCGCTTGTAGTTTTCTATAGGTGAGTTTCTATAGGTTTCTATAGGTTTCTATAGGTTTCTATGAGTTTCTATAAGTTTCTATAGGTTTTCTATAAGTTTCTATAGGTTTCTATAAGTTTCTATAGGTTTCTATAGGTTTTCTATAAGTTTCTACAGGCTTCTATAGGTTTTCTATAAGTTTCTATAGGTTTCTATAGGTTTCTACAGGTTTCTATAGGTGATTTTCTATAGGTTTCTATAGGTTTCTATAAGTTTCTATAAGTTTCTATAGGTTTTCTATAAGTTTTCTATAAGTTTTCTAAACTATCAAATAACAAAAAAAAAAAGAAAAATTTCATTCCGTTGCCGGGAATCGAACCCGGGCCTTATGGGTGAGAGCCATAAATCCTAACCACTAGACCACAACGGACTTGCTCGGGGTGGTTGGGAAAGGGTTTTTGAAGAGATCAACCAAAGTTTGACAGCTTTGATAAGAGCTGACAAAATGATTAAAAAACTATTGTTTTCATGTTTTATCTTACAGTACTATAAAATAAAAGACACAACAGCATTCTGATTGTTATCTATTAGTTGAGTACAAGTAGAGTAGTCAAAAGTCTCTCAATTCAAGTAAAAAGTCAAAGATATAATCGACAAATCAGTAAACACCATTAACTCTCATGTTTCTGAATCAAAAAGCCAAAACTTTTACAGATTCCACAGCTCTGTCTGCCTTGTCGACATCTTTAAGCGAACCTATAACACTAAACCATCCGATATGACATCATCAACATCAATGGCTACAACAACTTCCACTGGAGCTTCACTTGAACCATGACTCTATATTATTTACAATTCTTTTCTATTCCTTTTGTACATTCTCTGCGAGTCATATTTTCGGGTTTAAGCGAGTTTTCTCTTTGTTTATTTTGAGATTTCTTTTTTTTTCACTTATTCTTGATCTCGTGCTTTACATTTTAAACCAAAAACGGTGCAGGTTTTTGTATTTTTTTCTAATAAATATTATAAAATCAAATAAAGAATAAGTACAAGTAGAACAATTAAAAATAAAACATTTAAACCGTAGCCTTTATGTTTACTTTCTAAAATGGACAAAAGTTTTGTTTTCTTTGAAATCTCTTCACTATTTTGTAAAATGTAAACTTAAAACGTCAGCAGAGATTTCCACCCACTCAATCCGTATTGGAACCGTATTGGAACCGTATGAGATCCAAATAGGATCCGTATTGGATCCGTATTGGAACCGTATTGGAACCGTATTGGAACGTAAAAGGAACCGTATTGGAACCGTATTGGAACCGTATTGGAACGTAAAAGGAACCGTATTGGAACCGTATTGGAACGTAAAAGGAACCGTATTGGAACCGTATTGGAACCGTATTGGAACGAAAAGGAACCGATTGGAACCGATTGGAACGAAAAGGAACCGTATTGGAACCGTATTGGAACGAAAAGGAACCGATTGGAACCGTATTGGAACGTAAAAGGAACCGTATTGGAACCGTATTGGAACCGTATTGGAACGAAAAGGAACCGTATTGGAACCGTATTGGAACCGTATTGGAACGTAAAAGGAACCGTATTGGAACCGTATTGGAACGTAAAAGGAACCGTATTGGAACCGTATTGGAACGTAAAAGGAACCGTATTGGAACCGTATGGAACCGATGAGACCAAATAGGACCGTATTGGACCGATTGGAACCGATTGGAACCGATTGGAACGAAAAGGAACCGTATTGGAACCGTATTGGAACGTAAAAGGAACCGTATTGGAACCGTATTGGAACGTAAAAGGAACCGTATTGGAACCGTATTGGAACCGTATTGGAACCGTATTGGAACCGTATCGGAACCGTATGAGATCCAAATAGGATCCGTATTGGAACCGTATTGGAACCATATTGGAACCATATTGGAACCATATTGGAACCGTATTGGAACCGTATTGGAACCGTATTGAAACCGTATTGGAACCGTATTGGAACCGTATTGGAACCGTAAAAGGAACCGTATGAGATCCAAATAGGGTCCGTATTGGAACCGTATTGGAACCATATTGGAACCATATTGGAACCATATTGGAACCGTATTGGAACGTAAAAGGAACCGTATTGGAACCGTATTGGAACGTAAAAGGAACCGTATTGGAACCGTATTGGAACGTAAAAGGAACCGTATTGGAACCGTATTGGAACCGTATGAGATCCAAATAGGGTCCGTATTGGAACCGTATGAGATTCTGTCACCCACTCAATCATCCCAAGAAATTCATTGAATTCAAAAATCTATTTGATTTTTCAAAGATCATTCAATGATTTCTTTTTTTTCCCTTATTCTTGATCTCGTGCTTTATATTTTAAACCAAAAACGGTGCAGGTTTTTGTATTTTTTTCTAATAAATATTATAAAATCAAATAAAGAATAAGTACAAGTAGAACAAGTAAAATTTAAAATTTAAACATTTAAACCGTAGCCTTTATGTTATATTATTCTTTAAAAAGAAATATAAAGTGGATTGTTATCTCATCTTGGTTTAAAAATGGATATTTGGGGGATTGTTTTGGGATTTTTCTTCTTTAAGTAGTGATGGACATTGGATCTTTTAGAGATCTTTGGATTGTAAATTGAGTCTCCTATCAATACGGGAAATCCATTCTCTTAACAGCTATTGTTAAAGTTTTCAATTTTGGAAACGAATCGTGAATCTTTCAGATTTTGAGACAACAATCCACTTAAGATCTTAAGATCAACAATCCAATAAGATCTTTCAAATCAAATTTATGGCTAGTGGATCTTTTAGAGACCTTTTGATTGTAAATCTAGTCTCCTATCACTACGGGAAATCCATTCTCTTGATATCTATTGTTAAAGTTTTCAATTTTCGAAACGAATCGTGAATATTTCAGATTTTGAGACAACAATCCACTTTATAAGATCTTTAAAATCAAATTCAAGCCTTTTTTTTGACCTCATTATCTTATAAATCACAAAATTCTCTCACTTCCTGAGTGACATAACTCTTGTCAAGCAAATTTCTGTAGGTACACGTGATTGGTAAACATAGAATTGGGAGAGGTTGACGGCAGAGTTGAAATTCCTTTCACTTCATTTCCTTGAGGAAAAACGAGAGTAATCCTTCGTCTCTGTCGTCAAAAATTTCACCAAGAACAAGAGAAATTTTCACATTCTTACTCTCATTCTTACTAGCTAACTATGAATCAAAAGAATTTATCAAAAATAAAAGATCTTAGTCGAACATGGTCGACAAAAGTTAATCATTTGCCGATGATTATTGAACCAGAAGATGATGAACAAGGGAGTTCAAGAAGTCGAGAAATTCATTTTATTCAAGAAGAGAATGAACCAACATCACCGAGTTCACTAAAGCCAAGTGTTGAAGTATCTCCGTTAAGGAAAACTAGTGTCTCTTTTGGTGAGTTTTGATCTGGTTATTGTTTGCTAAGTTTTGATAGCTTATTTAGTAACTTTTCGACTATTTTAGTAATTAAAATAACTTTTACAAGTCCTTGAATAGCTTTTGAAACACTAAATTTCATACAACTTTCAATTACAGCTTTGGATTTCGAAGCTCAACATAAAGCTGAAGAAGTCGACGCTGAGAATCGAGCAAACGCTTATTATGATAAAAATCGCCCAAAAAAGGATGAAGAAACGATTGGAATGATGAATGGACGATGGATTGATAATACAAATGCTTGGTGAGTTCTTTTAGCTCTAAAGAAACCACAGTATCATATCTATAACCATTTTTAGTCCATTATCAATAGAACAACATAGCAAAAAACCTAGATAATTGGTTTTCTCTATAAAGTGTTTCTAAAAATACTCTTTTTAAGATTTAAAATATTAACAAGGGAATCTTAACGGAATGTGGTGGTCAAATGACACAAGCCATCAACTATTCGATTCAGAATTTAGCGCTGATTTTGAATCTGCTTTCCGTTTCTGCGATACAGCACTCTGTCAAAAGTTATAAGGCTCAAAGTTTTTTTTATGTATCAGCTCTTGAGTTTCAAAGCAGATTTCCCAGAGGGTTTGGAGAGCAGTGGTGGCCGGGTGGTCGGCTAGAATACAAAGTAAACCCTCAAGGTCAGAGTCCGCTGTCTGATTTACAAAACTTTGAGCGCTTAGAACTTTTGACAGAGTGTTGTATCGCAGAAACGGAAAGCAGATTCGGAATCAGCACAAAATTCCGAATCGAATAGTTGGTGGCTTGTGTCATTTGACCACCACATTCCGTTAAGATTCCCTTTTTTAACTTTAACAACCTTTAACAACAACTTTAGTAATCTTAAAACTGTAATTCTAAAATATTACTGAAATTGATATCAATTTCAGTAGCTTTTCAGTAGCTTTAGCTTTTTAGCTATCAGATTTTCATGGGAACAAACTATTGGGTTGGTGAATTGAAAACTGCGGGACTTTGAACTAAAATTTATTGAACATAAAACCATGAATTCATTTGAAATAATTTCCATTATTATTGACGACTTCTGCCCATTTTACAGGCAATTTGAGGATTCCTCTTTCGTAGTAGGATTTTTGTTTGTGGGTGAGACAAGTGTGAGACTCAAAAATGGAGGACTGGAGGTGTCCCAGTTTGAGCGTTTGAGCACTTTCTTCAAAAGAAACCCATTTTGGTGTCAATAGAAAAGTTGTAGAGAATCAAAAATTAGGCTTATAGCCAAATTTCCAAAAAGATACACTTAGTAGTTTCGCTTAAAATGCAAGTTTTGTGAAGATTCGTAGATTTGGCATTTCTTGAAAACCAGTTTTTGAATCATTCTGAAAATTTGGATATAAGCTTGATTTTTGATTCTCTACAACTTTTCCATTGACACCAAAATGGGTTTCTTTTGAAGAAAGTGCTCAAACTGTCACATATGACAATAACCCGCAGTTTTCAATTCACCAACCCAATATAATCACTTGGAAAAGCACAATATTTACCTTCTAAAATGGATAAAAGTTTTGTTTTCTTTGAAATCTCTTCACTATTTTGTAAAATGTAAACTTAAAACGTCAGCAGAGATTTCCACCCACTCAATCATCCCAAGTAATTCATTGAATTCAAAAATCTATTTGATTTTTCATAGATCATTCAATGAAGATTTCTGAAAAGTCAACATTTAAAGAATTGCGAAAGAAAGCATTTTTTTGCGTTCATTCCTTGCTACTCTGAACTCAAATGAATGGGTTTAACTAAGAAAAAAACCACAACTTTTCAAATTTTCACATCGTTTCCTTTACTCTCCAAATAGAGAAAGGTTTTCTTGGGTATTTCTATTGAAAGATGAATTGGAAAAGTGAACTTTTAAATGGAAATGACCTCTTTACAACAATGAGAATTGGATTTTTATGCTTGCTAATTGAATTGCTTGCTAAGTTTTGATTGAATGAATGAATAAGCTGGATAATTGGATGTACTAGTTATAGCTAAGAAAGCTAAGAAAGCTAAGAAAGATAGCTAGATAGCTAAGAAAGATAGCTAGATAGCTAAGAAAGCTAAGAAAGATAGCTAGATAGGTAAGAAAGATAGCTAGATAGCTATGAAATAAAACCTCAAAGTAACCACAGTTTTTTGATATTAGGATTTGTGCTAAAGAAAAGCGACTTTTCAATCACAATCTTTCCAGATTTCAGCCTCCAAGAGCAATGAGTCACTTTGATTTTCATTTGTAACATAGTTTACATTGACTCAACCAGCTAAACCTTGATTATTAATGATAGTTGAACAATTCTTTTATTGATTGGGGCTGGGAATAGAAAACATGGTCAATGCTGGGATTCAAATCAACACCTACCGGGCGAACGCTCTAGAATTAAGCTTTTCGAGAGAAATTTTCTCATTCTTACTCTCGCTTACTAGCTAACTATGAATCAAAAGAATTTATCAAAAATAAAAGATATTAGAAGGAATAGAAAACACGGGGAATCAACTATGAATGCTATGAATCAACAGAACCAACGCTGGGATTCAAATCCGCGACCTCTCACCTACCGGGCGACCATTAAGCTATCTACCATTAAGATCTACCATTAAGCTACACCGATATTACTCAATCCTCGTATAAAAGAACTTGAATTATAAATTTCTTATCCGATTTTTCAGATTTCAATCTTACTTCAACGCTTGTTAAAGTGTTAAAGTGCTAAAGTTTGTTAAAGTTAAAGCTCGGCTGCGCTAAAATTTTTTTTAGATGAATCTGTTTAGGAATTAAAAACTATTGTTTTTTTTAAACCATTCTTTCTAAATATAGTTTGTTTTACAAAACTGGAAAACTTTTGGACTCCTGTTGCATTAGAAACTGGAGAATTGATATCATTTTCGTTGTCGAAATGTAAGTACAACTTAGCTATTCAAGCTAGAGTTATGGTAATCAATCGAGCTTTTAAAATCATTACCCTCTTCTAAATACCAAGAGTTTTTAAGCTAAAGAGCTAATAAATCAGGCTCTAACTAGCTTTATTTCAATTCTTTAAAAAGAAACAAACAAAGAATCAATTCAAACAAAGCAAATTTTTTTTAATCTTTAGCCTAAGCTTAAGCCTAAGCAAAGCCTAAGCAAAGCCTAAGCAAAGCCTAAGCAAAGCCTAAGCAAAACACAAGGGTAATCGGGTGTCCTTTAACTCCGGGAATTGGCTGAGATCGAGAAAATGGGGGTTCAGCTCAAATCCAAATAGACTTAGTGCGAGGCGCTAGCCGCTAGCCTTCGCACTGAGTCCAAGCCTAAACCTAAACCTAATCCCCTTGGGTTCCAAAGCACAAGGGCAATCGGGTGTCCTTTAGCTCCGGGAACTGGCTGAGATCCAGAAAATGGGGGTTCAACCCAAATCCAAATAGACGGCGCTAGCCGCTAGCCTTCGCACTGAGTCCAAGCAAACAAAAACTAAACACCGCTTTATGTCTCAAGTTCATTTTACTCAAAAACTTTGACCTCTTATGCAAACAGTTTTTTCAAAACTTTTAAAAACTACATCAATTGATATTTTGCAGGTATTTTCCTAAAGAATTTTATGTACAAACCAATGGATTATGACGATTCACTCGTTTAGAAAAAAAAGGGGAAAACGTGTTGAACGATTGGTGAACTTCAGAGAGTAAACATCGCTCTCTCTTCCACACAAAACCATAGCACAAACTTTCAAAAACTACGACTCAACTATAATCTTTTAAAGCTAAAGAATAAATAGAAATAATGTTCAAAAAGCAAAATTTGAAGACGAAAGATTGATACCAATAAAACAAAAACAAAGAATGTTTCTATGGAAGAATTTTTAATAACTATACGTTCCTAGGTGTAAACGGATAGACTAAGGAAGAAAGAGGGACCCGAACCGCCACTCTACCCCCGACACCCAACCAACTCCCCAACGAAGGGGGAGCCCGGAAATGACCGACCGATGCAGTTGCAAGCCGGAAGATAGTACTTTATTACAGTAATACAATAAGAGAATAGAACAAATGAGTGTAATGGGAAGGGGGCCCCCAAGCCACTGTCCTTAGGCCCTCACTGTCCTCCTAGGCCCCCCTCCCTCCCCGGCCCCTCACTGTCCTCCTAGGCCCCACCCTGCTCCTCCCCCCCCCCCCCCTTCCCTAGGCCCTCCCCTCCCCCCTAGGCCTCATGTCCTTCTAGGCCCCCATGTCCTTCCTAGGCTCCTCACTGTCTTCCTAGGCTCCTCACTGTCCTCCTAGGCTCCCCACTGTCCTCCTAGGCTCCCCACTGTCTTCCTAGGCTCCTCACTGTCCTTCTAGGCTCCTCATTGTCCTTCTAGGCTCCTCACTGTCCTCCTAGGCAATCCCAAGGACTGCCCCTTCTCGGCAATAAAAGGGATAAGTACAGGGGAGAACACATTTGCATAAGAATAGACAAATCATTCAATAATAACAATAGTAACTAAAATATCAGTTGGGCTCGGAGCTGACATAACTATGGAAATCATAGTTAGTAAAATGGAAGTTAGAGAATGGATTTATTAAGAAAAATAGAGCTAGATTAAATCTAAAACAATACTTTAATATAAATTGTAATTCTAGCAACTTTTTGGCCGCTCTTGTCAGTCTCCTCTACGCTTTGGTATTGACAGTGATCGCTATAATCATTGAGGTTTCCCCTGGATGGTCGAATCAATTGTACATTGGAGAATTGGTAATCTTAAGAAGTCTTTCTCTTAAGAACGAAATATATAGGTTTTCTACATTTGGATGTACGGTTTTGGGCTGATTTTCTTTGGCTATTGCTATTTCTTTCTCGTCTATACTAAATGGTTTCTCCAAGTGCAGCGATGGCTCATTCGATTGAGGATTCTCGATGATGATGTGAGTTTTGAAATCAATTATAAATCTAAATTCTATATAGAGATTAGATATAAATTCTAATAGCTAGTTGAAAAAAATACGCACAATTTTAGAAATGGGTTTTGGAGAAAGCGGCTCACACTGGAGAAGGAGCTGGCAGTCTTTATCTGAGACTTGGAGCTGTTGGTTCGTCAAAATTTCACTTTTAATATAAAGCAAAAGATATTCAATCTGAATACTTTTTGTCTCTTTAAGAAATTCGAGCACTTTTTAGATTAACTTTAAGATTCAAAAGTTTCACAGGAAAGGTAGACAATGCTGGATTACTGTAGACAATGTAGAGTTACTGTAGACAATGTAGAGTTACTGTAGTAGATGTTGGATTACTGTAGACAATGTTGGATTACTGTAGACAATGCTGGATTACTGTAGACAATGTAGGGTTACTGTAGACAATGTAGAGTTACTGTAGACAATGTAGAGTTACTGTAGACAATGTAGAGTTCTGTAGACAATGAAATGACTGACTATCAGGTACTGTAGCTGTAAAGAGAAAACCGGTACTCTAGCTGAGGAAAGGAGCTTTGTAACCTAACAATCAGTGAAATAAAATCAATACTTTTAGTCTTTGGCACTCTCGGAATCATGTTATTGGGAATGGAATCGTTTCTAATCTTTCACAATCACGACAACGGAACACAAGCCGCGAAACTGATCCTTGTCGCTGTGTTCATCTTCGTCGAAATGCATTTCATCTTTTGCAACTCGAAAGTAGGGTTTTTGAAAAAAAAAGAGAAACGAAAATCTCTTTGTTTTAGTTAGTCATCATCACCAATCAAGGCATCGCTCGTTTTGGTATGATGCACGTAATTGCTGTCAACATTTTTACATGGATTCGTTTCATTCTTGTAAAAGCTGTATGTTTTAAAAATTTATTTCTCCCTTTTACAATACTTTTCTTATCTTTTTTTAGTAGATTTGTAAGAGAAATATTTTTTTTCTTTTGCCTTTGGTAATTTAAAGTTTTACGTCTTTTTCTCAACAAAAATCCTTAAATTTTGAATTTATTGATTATTTATTTAATGCAGAATCAAATTTCGCATTGAATGCATTAAAAGCAATCAAAATTCATTTAAAATTTAATATCTATGCAAAGTTATTGAGGCTAGCTTGGCTTGGCTTGACTTTTGCTTTATAACTTTACTTGAATATTATATTTTGAGTTATTTTTTATATCATTCAATGCGCAATTTTATTCTGCATTCAATAGAAAAAGATGAAAAGTGCTTGAAGAAAGACAGAGACGGGGCGAATAATGTACAAGGCTAGGTTATGCATTGAATAGAAAGTCAAAATCAAAGAGTTTTTCTTGAGAAAATGACGTAAAACTTTAAATTATCAAAGGCAAAACGAGAAAGAGATGTGTTTTTTGTTTTTTTGTACAAGTTTACTTTGTTGTACTTACTCGATTTGAATTTAGATCAGTAAACACACGAAGAAGCAGAAGAAAGAGCTCAAAACGGGGTATTATGCAGATGATAGCTCGGATAGTTCGGAGGAGGCGACTGCTTATGAATCAACAATCGTTTATGGGCAACAAATTTATGAAGCACTGACATCGACGACTCCATATCCTATCAAAACAAATGAGACATCTGGGAATCTTGGACAAACACTTTACATCGAGAAATACTTTGGAGACTTTACCACTATTTTTGTTACCTGTATTGGTGAGTTGATTTTGAGAACAGTAGGTGGGAAAATGTTTACCGTATTCTCTCTAATAGTAGTGCACGAGCCAAGTTGGTGAAATTGAATTGTAATTGTGAAATGTAATTGAACAGAACCTTCTATATTTTTTTGTCAAAATATTCAGTTTAGGGTGAGACGGAAAGCAAAAATCGCGTTTTTCTTTTAGGAAATAGTTGTAGAGACTAAAAAGCATTGAATAATATTGGGTTGATGCATAAGTGTTTTTGTTCCTTTTCGTCTGCCGTTTCAAGCCAACAAATGCACCAATTAAACTACGGTTGATTTCATTAGAAAAAGCAATTATTTTTCTGCAAAATAACACTAAAACGGGTTTAAAAATATTTAATGCCTGGATTTTCTTGAGAGTATGAAGTCGGGTAGTCAAAAAGGGCTAACTCGATGATGCGGTTTAGACACCTTAGCTAAAGAAAACCTATCTTCGTGTCAATAGATAAAAGATAGAGAAAAAAACGTTTGATATTTCGCCAAAATTTCAGAGAAATTCATTCAGCCAATTTTTCCGTAGAGTTTTTTATAGATTTTTACGAAAAAGGCGTTTTTCACTCTCGAATTTGCTTGAAAGTGAACCGAAATTCATTTAAAAAGATGCAAATTGAACAAAAAAAACACTTTTTTTATAGAGCAAACTATAGATTAATTCGTGAATTTGTTACTTTTTAACAGAAGTACGAAAAAAACGAAAAGACTTATGCATCAACCTATTATATACCGTATTCTCTCTAATAGTAGTGCACCCCGACAAGCCGAGTTGATGACTATTTTACGGTTTCCAAGTTTTTCACAGAAGCTCAACACTCTAATTATCCGCAAGATCTCATCGTCAGCTACATTTTCCGACCCCACATCGATATGTTCTGATAAGCGGTTGGCGATATTTCAAGCAATTTAGGCAAACCTTAGGGAAAATACGGTAACTAGCTTTTATTGTCCTAAATCTCTCTAACAAGTCAGGATTCTAACTGTAAGTATGAGAGATTGACTCTAAAGTTTGTTCTCTTGTGCAAGAGGTAGCTTGGCCTCGTATTTAGCGTGCACCCCACCGAGTCGAGTTGGTGACTATTTTACGGTTTCCAAGCTTTCCCAGAAGCTCAACACTCAAATCCCCCACTAGATCTCATCGTCAGCTACATTTTCCGACCCCACATCGATAGGTTCTGATAAGCGGTTTTCAAGATTTCAAGCAATTTAGGCGACGCTCAGGGTGCACTACTATTAGAGAGGATACGGTATATAGAAAGAGCTGTGTCTGTCTCTGTGTATCTGTAATATCTGTAAATTGTTCTGAATTTAGGAGAGTAGTGAATTGTAGGGAAATTCTAGTACATTAGCTACCTAACAATGGCGATAATAAGACTAAACGATTGATAGTATTGATTTTGAAATCATTAGTATCAAAATCAGTGTTGCTTTAATCGTCTTTAACTATTGTTATTTCTTCTTTCTCTAAATTCGAATGCATTGAATTTATGGAAAATAAATCTATCAAATGATTTAGTTGAATATTCACTTATTGGTGCGGCGGTGATGTTTATTTTGTGGATGCAAATTGGCCATGTTGGCCCTCATCATGGCTGGTCACAACAGAAAAGAGCTAAAAGAAAAAGCAAAATGAGAATTGATTGCAGGTAAGAAAAGAAAGGAATTGCTTAAAAACAATAAGATTTCAGTAAATGAATCAACAATGAAATTAATCTATAGAATTTGAAAACGAAAGATTTCTTTCTGTGCAATGCATTCGAAGCAATGCATTTTAAGCAATAGAAAGAGCAAAATAAAGATGCCTAAGCCTACGTCTAAGTCTTAAACTTTCACCTTTTAGTCGCTCAACTTCGGGAATTTTTGGCGGTGTTCTTTATATGATTCTCGTTTTTATGTCAATTGGTGTTTATTTAGTATTTTCAAAGGTAAAGCTTTCTTATTAAATCAATCTTAAACCTTTTTCAGTTAAATGAGACATCGAATCAAACTCTTTGCTTTGGAATTGTGGAAATTGTGATGTACACTTGGATTTTATCGGTTTTGATCTTTGGATTATGGAGGTAAAAACTCTAAAACAGCTTGATGTATTTTTTGCTGAAACATAAACAAACCTTTTCTGGCACAAGTTCTTGTTCTTGTTCTTGTTCTTCTACTTATTCTTGTTCTTGTTCTTGTTCTTCCTCTTGTTCTTCTTGTTCTTGTTCTTCTTGTTCTTCTTCTTGTTCTTGATCTTGTTCTTGCTCATGTTCTTCTTCTTCTACTTATTCTTCTTCCTCTACTTATTCTTCTTCTTCTTCTTCTACTTATTCTTCTTCTTCTTCTACTTATTCTTCTTTGTCTTCTTCCTCTTCTACTTATTCTTCTTCTTCTTCTACTTATTCTTCTTCGTCTCCTACTTATTCTTCTTCTTCTTCTTCTTCTTCTTCTTCTTCTTCTTCTTCTTCCTCCTCTTGTTCAACATCAAGTTCTTTTTAAAAGAAGAGTTGCATTCTCTAGAAATCTTTAGATTATAAGCACCTTGATGATAAATAAAGTACAGTCATGAAAAGATATTATGCTAATATAGATATCAATTTAAATTCAAAACCAATTTCAATTTTAGAATGAGAGTCCTTCAATATAAACGCGAGAATTCTCATGCAAGTGCTGAGATTCTCGACGAGATTCTTCTCGTCATTGGGCTCTTTGGAGAGATTGTTTATTGTTGTATAGGTAAAAGGTTTTTAAATATTCTATATTTAAATCATTTCCTATCATAATCAATAATGTTTTAGCTATTGATCTCTGGATTGCTACTCAATCCTCAGAGAGCAAGTACCAGAAAATGCATGGATATGACCTAGCCTTGTACATTATTCGCCTCGTCTCTGTCTTTCTTCAAGCACTTTTCATATTCTTAAGTACAAGGTTAGTGTGATTTGAAAAAGAAACAAGGATAATATATTAAATAATAATATTAAAATTACAGGCTAGCTGCTCGTGGACCAAACGAGCAGCGAATCAAACCCGGGAAACAATCAGTCACCTTCCTCTTAGTTGCCAACATTGCTCTCTTCATCTTTATGACATTCGAATCAATGAACAGCAATCTACCACTCAATGCATCCAGTTCCGCATTTCCATATATCATCTATGGAGTTGGACCATTGGTTGTCTTTTATCGGTGAGTGGGTTAGACAAGCTTACAGGATGGTCAAGAATTAGCGATCCAGAAATGATTGGGGCTAATTAAGAACTTAAGAATTTTGAGTTGAGATTTATTCAGATTAAAATCCTATGTTCTTTCGGGTTCTTTGTTTGCTATTTAGGAGAAAGTTTGCCTCTTGTCCATCCGATAGTGTTCAAAAAATGAGCTAACCGATGCCGAGAGGGAATAGCTATCTATCTAGGGCGTGTACCAGATCAAACACGATTACCCTGGCGCACAAAGATCACCTAAAAAATGATCATAGATCGTCCAAAAAATTGGCTAACGGATGCCAAAATGGAATAGGTATCTAGGCCGTGTACCAGATCAAACGCGATTACGCAGGCGCGTATAGAAAAAAATTTGAGTCTAGTGACCCACAACGCAACGAGACCGGCTTAGTCCATCATCTTGAAGGATACTAAAAACGGAATAGCTATCTATCAGAGGCATGTGCCAGATCGTGAGTGATTACGCGAGCGCACAAAGCACAGCTATAACGGGAAACCGGGAAAGTGCGATAGCTCACTATTTTATGACGGGGAGAAGGGAATAGCTATCTATCTAGGGCGTGTACCAGATCGAACGCGATTACGCAAGCGCACAAAGATTACCTATCAATACTCTTTGCATTGTAGATTGTATAATATAAAAAGAAGCTATCGAGCTGTAAATTTGTATTTGGGGGTTTGCAGAGTCGAGGAATTGATTGGCGCTTTTTATTTTATAAGTCTACCAATTGGTTTAATTGGTCGAAACTTTTGGAAACTTATTCATCTATCTTAGATGAATTTCTAAATATTCTAAATGATATAAAAAGATCTTCAGCTTACTATCGAATAATATTTTCTCTACGCTTCGATTTTCAGCTTTCACAGCTCTGTTTGCCTTGTCGATATCTTTAAAAAGACCTACAACACAAAGCTATTGGACAGCTCTTCAGCTGGTTCATTTGCCACGACAGCTACCGCTTCTTCAATTGAAAGTCCAATTCAAGAGCATAACACATTACCAAATGAACATTAAAAGTTACAAAAAACTTCCAAAATATTAGAAATTTCAATTTGTTTGAATTTTCAAATCAAATTCATCTTTTTCCTTTTGAAATCGTGATCCTTAGCTGTCCTGTTCTGTCCTCATTCACTAATTCACTTATAGTTTAACTTTTTATATCTTAATTCTACTTTTTCTTCTTTTTCTTCAAACACAAATTCATATCCCATTAAAGGTAAAGGTCTTTTTATCTTTTTTGAACTTCAAACAACCAGACTTGTAACCGAAAACCGAAAACTTTCCCTCTAAAAAGCTCCCATTTCTTGATCTCATCTTTCATTTTTCTGATGTGTTTACCTACGTTTTTATAGTTATTTAGATTGTTTTTTATTTTGGTGATGAATAAATTTCTTTGATTACTTCAATAGTTTCATTTTTTTTAAAGACAAGATGGATCAAAAGCAAGACACAGCAACGAAATCGAGACTGTTCTTTTTACGGTTCTTTTTTTGATCCAATACGGTTTCAATACGGTTCTTTTTTTGATCCAACACGGTTCCAATACGGTTCCAATACAGTTCCAATACGGTTCTTTTTTGATCCAATACGGTTCCAATACGGTTCTTTTTTTGATCCAACACGGTTTCAATACGGTTCTTTTTTTGATCCAATACGGTTCCAATACGGTTCTTTTTTTGATCCAATACGGTTCCAATACGGTTCTTTTTTTGATCCAACACGGTTTCAATACGGTTCTTTTTTTGATCCAACACGGTTCCAATACGGTTCCAATACAGTTCCAATACGGTTCTTTTTTGATCCAATACGGTTCCAATACGGTTCTTTTTTTGATCCAACACGGTTCCAATACAGTTCCAATACAGTTCCAATACAGTTCCAATACAGTTCCAATACGGTTCCTTTTTTGATCCAATACGGTTCCAATACGGTTTTTTTTGGATCCAATACAGTTCCAGTACAGTTCCAATACAGTTCCAATACAGTTCTTTTTTTGATCCAATACGGTTCCAATAATAGCAACGAACTTCAAACAACCAGACTTGTAACCAAAAACCGAAAACTTTCCCTCTAAAAAGCTCCCATTTCTTGATCTCATCTTTCATTTTTCTGATGTGTTTACCTACGTTTTTATAGTTATTTAGATTGTTTTTATTTTGGTGATGAATAAATTTCTTTGATTACTTCAATAGTTTCATTTTTTTTAAAGACAAGATGGATCAAAAGCAAGACACAGCAACGAAATCGAGACTGTTCTTTTTACGGTTCTTTTTTTGATCCAATACGGTTTCAATACGGTTCTTTTTTTGATCCAACACGGTTCCAATACGGTTCCAATACAGTTCCAATACGGTTCTTTTTTGATCCAATACGGTTCCAATACGGTTCTTTTTTGATCCAACACGGTTTCAATACGGTTCTTTTTTGATCCAATACGGTTCCAATACGGTTCTTTTTTTGATCCAATACGGTTCCAATACGGTTCTTTTTTTGATCCAACACGGTTTCAATACGGTTCTTTTTTTGATCCAACACGGTTCCAATACGGTTCCAATACAGTTCCAATACGGTTCTTTTTGATCCAATACGGTTCCAATACGGTTCTTTTTTGATCAACACGGTTCCAATACAGTTCCAATACAGTTCCAATACAGTTCCAATACAGTTCCAATACGGTTCCTTTTTTGATCCAATACGGTTCCAATACGGTTTTTTTTGGATCCAATACAGTTCCAGTACAGTTCCAATACAGTTCCAATACAGTTCTTTTTTTGATCCAATACGGTTCCAATAATAGCAACGAACTTCAAACAACCAGACTTGTAACCAAAAACCGAAAACTTTCCCTCTAAAAAGCTCCCATTTCTTGATCTCATCTTTCATTTTCTGATGTGTTTACCTACGTTTTTATAGTTATTTAGATTGTTTTGATTTTGGTGATGAATAAATTTCTTTGATTACTTCAATAGTTTCATTTTTTTAAAGATGGATCAAAAGCAAGACACAGCAACGAAATCGCTCAAATGGATCAGCAATCAGAAAGCCTGGTTTGAAAGAATTTTTTTTGTGTTTTCTAAAAATTTCTTTTATTCAGTGCTTTCTTTTGCTCAATGTTGAGCTTATTTTATGCATTAGTGTTGATTATTGGAGCAGTGATTGTCGAAATTTCACCAACATGGTCCACAAGATTACATCAAGCTGAGTTGGTAGGTAAAACTATGTAAAATTTTCGTACTATAAAGTAGACTTCGGAAAACAAAACTTAACCAAAACCAAAACCACCAAAACCAAAACCAAAACAAACCAAAACCAAAACTAATCAAAACTAACCAAAACTCGCCAATATCTCGCGACTGGGAGGAGCTAGCGAAAATCTGCTTGCAGATTTGAAATCAGCATCCAAAAATCTATGCCATAGGCTATTTTTGTTTTCGAAATTTCGAGGTCGTGTTTTGGTCCTTTTTTCGGCCGCGAGATTTTGTGGAGTGAGAAAAAGTGAAAGGCAAATTTGCATTTTACATTAAAATTTCCATTTTACAATTTTAAATTTACATGTTAATTTATATGCAAATTGAGTTTTGGTTTGTTTTGGTGTTTTGGTTTTGGTTTTGTTTGCCGAACTCTACTATAAAGTATGTGAAAAGTTTTGACACCACCAAAAGAAAGCCGTTTATATCAAGATTTTAAAAAAAAGCTAGAAGAAAAGGGATTTTAGATTCAAAAAATATTTAAAGTAAACATAGTAAACATAAAACCCAAAAAAAGAAGAGAAAATAGGGGTTTTTTGATAATATTCTTGGTCTTGGAGTGGGTTGTTAATTGATTAAATCTTATTGATTAAATTTTCTTAGTGTAAACTTAAATGCATGCTTTTTTGACTCTTAGAAAGGTTGCTTTTCCTTTAAAATCAACCCTCATAAAAACCTAATTGCTTTTGAAATAACCAGAATTTCAAAAATTTATAGTTAAGATTCCAAATTGAAGATTAAGAGTTAAGATTTAACAAAAAGTTGTTACTGTTGTTACTGTTACGAGTTGTTACTAAAACAAAGCTTAAAAATTGATGCACGAAGCCGAAATTTGCCAAATAAAAAGCTTAGTTAAGCTTAGTTAATATAATAAGTTAATGTTTCGAATATGAAATCCGTTTTGTTCTAGCTTTTCTTAATCTTCATAATCTTTTGGTGTTAGCTAGAACAAGACTGCTAGAAGCCAAATCTAAAAACAAGAATAAAGTAAATACCGTATTCTCTCTAATAGTAGTGAACCCCGCCGAGTTGATCACTATTTACAGCTTCTAAAGCTTTCCCAGAAGCTCAAATCCCCCACAAGATCTCATCGTCAGCTACATTTCCCGACCCCACATCGATAGGTTCTGATAAGCGGTTCTCGAGATTTCGAGGAATTTAGGCGACGCTCAGGGTGCACTACTATTAGAGAAAATACGGTAAGCGGTCTTTTTTCTATGCCTTTAAAACTTTTCACGCACCTTTTCAGCGAACTAACACATGCTAGTTTGCTATTAGAGCTAGTTGGCTGAAATACAGTCAATTTTTAAGTCAATTGGCTGAAATTTATTATGTTTTTGTAGTAGTAGTAGGTTCTCGTGACTGTTGTAACTAATTTGCTTGTGGAATAGTTAGTGTTTCTGCAGCGTCTGTTTCTGTTTCTCCAGAGTAGCGCTTTCTACAGCGTTTCGGCAGTGAAGACGAAAAAACGATGTAAAAGAATAAAAAAGAATAAAGATGTAGAAAAAAAAAAGTGGGAGGAAGTAAAAAGAAAATAAAATTTGTTAAAAACTACGAGACGTTTCTAGTGACAACCTAGAAAGACGTAAAAGGTGCACTTTAGAAAACGACAATTGTGAATATAAAAGGCTCTTTTCTCAACAGCTTTACATTCTTTTTATAGATTTTCTACGTTTGGATGTATGGAGTTGGTCTACTTATCTTTGCTTATTTTTACCTCATCTTCATTCACATCGAATGGCTAAGTTTTGCTCAACGATTGCTTATGAGATTAAATCTTTTAGCTGAAGAGGTAAATCTGTTTCAAGTCAATTCTGTACTAGTAAAAAAGTTTTACTTGAAAACTTTGCAATAGAAATTTTAGAGTCTGGAACTATTAGGTTGTCCAATAAGTAATGCGTGTTTTGACACGATTTTCAAAATATCACAAAATTAACAAAAGAGAACTTTATTAATCGATATATTCTCCACAACAATCAACAACATTTCTCCATCGTCCGAGCGAAGAGTGAAGTCCGTCATAATAGAATGAAGCTGGTTTCGATGAGAAGAAATCGTCGAGCCATTTTTGCCTTCCAGCGCGTTCCTCGTCCTCTAGCCACTCGTTTCCGTCCGCAAATCGTTTAAACCAGCGCTGGCACTGGCTAATTGAAATTGAATCCTCTCCAAATGCGGCACAGATAGTTCGATGGCAATCCGCTGCAGTTTTACCTCGTTTGAAATCATACAGCATTGATGCGCGGACAACAAACTTTTTGTCTTTCATCTGCAAAACAACATATCTATTATAAAACAAAAGGCAAATGAATAAAATAATATATAAAAATAAACACAAGATGCTGATGATTAAAAAGAGCATATATTTGCTCGAAGCGATTTCGCAATAGTTTCGAAATAAGTAACACGCATTACTTATTGGACAACCTAATAATTGCCCTTTGACTGACTAAGGCATTTCATTATAAGGCATTTAAGGCATTTAATAAGGCAATAAGGCATTTAATTTCAGCCAACTGACTCTAATAGCGAACTAAAAAATGCTAGTTCGTTATTAGAGTCAGTTGGCTGAAAGTTAGTCAATTTTGAAGTCAATTGGCCGAAATTTATTATGCTTTTGTTGTAGTAGGAGATTCTGGTGACTGTTGTAACTAACTTGCTTGTGGAATAGTTAGTGTTTCTGCAGAGTAGCGCTTTCTGCAGCGTGAAGATGTGAAGATGAAAAAACGATGTAAAAGAATATTACAGGGTACAACATAAGTATGGTTACAGACTCAAAACCGTGTATTTTAATGAAATATGAACGGATTCATGTAAACTTTATTTAAAATTAACAAGAGTAATCATATTCATTTTAAAAATAATAAATGATTCAATATGGGCACCTTTATTCTTGATAACGGCTTTAAGACGCTTTGGATAACTTTCCACGGTACTGTAGGGTACTGTAGCTGGCTGAAAGTCAGTCAAGTCAGTCAATGCTTTACTTGAAAACGCAATAGAAATTTTAGAATCTGGAACTAACAGCTCGTTCACGCACCTTTTGACTGACTCTAATAAGGCATTTAATTTCAGCCAATTGACTCTAATAGCGAACTAACAAATGCTAGTTTGCTATTAGAGTCAATTGGCTCAGTCAGTCAGTCAATTTTTAATGTTTTACTGTAAATTGTTTTACTTGAAAACGCAATAGAAATTTTAGAGTCTGGAACTAACTGCTTGTTCACATTCAAACATTGCTGCAAGCAGTCTTTATTTAAGATTCGGTGCTTTGGGTATAGAAAACTTGTCTAACAGTAAAAGATTCATTCTAGCTTTTGGCTCTTTTGGAATCGTTCTCCTTTGCTCTGAAATTGTTACGACTCTTGATGAAGATGTCTATCAGTGTGCAAAGACTTCAGCAAAATACATTCTAACATGCTTATTCGTTTTTGTTCAAATGCATTTCATTTTCACGAACTCAAAGGTTAAAGTTTTTAATTTTTAAAAATAACTTAAGATCTTTTTAGATAATCATTGATCGCTCAAAGATATTCTGCTATTTTGGACTGATGCACATTGTAGCAGTGAATGTCTTTTCAGCTATCCGATACAGTCTCGTCGAAGCGGTAAAAAGTCTATTTTGAATATAAAAATTAGAAGAATATTTAAAAAAATGATAATAATACTTCAAAACTATAAGAATACTTAAAATTAAGAACTTAAGAATGCAAAAAAGATCCCTGTAAAGGAGTATTCATAGGTGGTGTTCTTTGTGCGCGAGCACAATCGCTCACGATCTGGCACACGCTCCAGATAGATACCTATTTTCTTTTCGAAAAGCTGAGGATTGGAATTTCCTGTTTTTTTGCCGTGTGATAGGTGTTCTTTGTGCCGCAATCGCTCACGATCTGGCACACGCCCCAGATAGATACTCATTCCCATTTCGGGTTCGTAAAATCGTGATCGATTAAACTTTCCCGTTTTTTCTTTTCGTTGGGTGTTCTTTGCGGGCAGGCACAATCGCTCTCGATCTGGCACACGCCCCAGATAGATCCCCTTTCTCTTCTGGATCCGTAAAGTAGTAAGCGACTGAAATTTTCCCTTTTCACGGCGTGACTATGCCCAAATTCCTGGGATTAATTCTTTTTCCTAAATTTGACTGGTTTTTCGGAACTTTTCGGATAAACAGGCAAACAGAGTAGCCTGAGGCCTTTTACATAGAGATTTTTCATAAATATATTTCTGGGTTCATAGAACACCTTGTGACCTTTTACAAAACAATTTTTCATAAAGATATCTTTCTAGATTCATTATCACACAAAACACAAATCCCTACCGAATATCTCGAAAGATCAACCCGCTCAACTACTCGGTCTACAACTTCTCGTCGATATTCATCTAGGAGCTCAAACGTCAACTATTTTTGTCACATGTTTGGGTAAAATTTCATTCAAATTCAGTCATCATTCGAATCGTTGCTTAAAATCAAATGGTTTTTTAATAAATTAAAACCTTAACTAGCAATTGGACCAAATTTTCAGTCAAATCTTTCAGTTTTTTACTTTCCAAAAAGTTTCTAGAAGAGGACTTTTAAGTAAACAACCAAAAATTGGAATTCTTTCAATTCAGTTGAGTATTTCTTGATCGGCTCGGGTATGATGTTTGTGTTATGGTTGGAAATTGGAGGGAAATCGATTCAGTCAAGACAAATTCCAGTAAATCATCGAAGAAATAGTATGATTGCTGATTGCAGGTATATATAGAAAGAATCTTGCTTGAAGAATCTAAAATCCTAAGTTCTTTAAGTTCTTTAAGTGCTTTAACCTTTCTTTCAGTCGCTCTACAACTGGCCTCTTTGGTGGGATTCTGTACATGTGTTTGGCCGTTGTGGCAATTGCAATCAATATCATTTTGGAGCATCATGTCGTCAGTTTTTCTGACTTTCATTTTTTGCCTTTTACTGAATAATAGCCAGCTACAGTAGAACTTACAAGGTTCCTTTAAACCATAGAACAGCTATTGTGCCCCATGTTTCTTTGAGAAGTTACAGTAGACCCGCTTAGACTTAGATTCCTCTTAAATTGGCTACAGGAGAACTTACAGTAATCCTTTAAACCATAGGACAGCTATTATACCCCTGTTTTCTTTGAGCAGCTACAGTAGACCCGCTTAGACTTAGACTTAGACTTAGATTCCTCTTAAATTGGCTACATTAGAACTTACAGTAATCCTTTAAACCATAGAACAGCTATTGTACCCCTGGTTTCTTTCAGCAGCTACAGTAATCCTTCTTAGACTTAGACTTAGACTTAGATTCCTCTTAAATTAGCTACAGTATTCCTAACAGTTGTTCTGACTTTCATTTTTACCTTTTACTGAATAATAGCCAGCTACAGTAGAACTTACAGGGTTCCTTTAAACCATAGAACAGCTATTGTACCCCATGTTTCTTTGAGCAGTTACAGTAATCCTGCTTAGACTTAGATTCCTCTTAAATTGGCTACAGTATTCCTTAGAGTTTTAAAACTTTCTTTAGCCAATCAATCACGATCCTGATGAAGAACCAATTGCATTTTATTGGCTTGGAACCGCTCAACTTTTGTTGTATCTATGGATTTTAGTGATTATCTTTTATGGTTTATGGAGGTAGCTAGAAAAATTCGATGCTAAATTCGATGCTAAAATAATTCTAGAATGAGAAATCTTCAATATCGAGCTGATCCAAGGAGAAAAAGCGGAGAGATTCTTGATCGAATTCTTCTCGTCATTGGCGTCTTTGGAGAAATCCTCTTTTGCTTCATTGGTTTGTTGTTTTATTCTCTGTGCTGTAACGTGAAAACGCAGACTTTCTAGTGTACAAAATTCTACATAAATTTAGTGCTTTCAGCTAAAAAAAAAAAATCAAAAATTCAGCTATCGATTTATGGCTAGAAAACAAAAAAACTGATGATGGATGGAGCCGCTTTCAGCCAATATATTTCCTTTTTGTTTATATCTTACGGCTTTCTTCAGCTCTTTCCCAAGCAATGTTCATCTTGTTGAGTGGAAGGTATTGGAAAATCAAAGAAATCGATTTATTGACTTTTTAGATTAATTGCTCGAAATGAAAATGAGCAAAAGGTAAAAAGTGGAAAGCAATCGATTACATTTTTGCTTGTGGCTAACATTTCGCTCTTTATTTTCACCATGTATGAATCGATGAGAAGCAATTTACCGATCGAACTCTCGAGTCTCGCCTATCCATATCTCATTTATGGAATCAGTCCATTCACTGTTTTCTATAGGTAAAGGAAAACTGACAAGAAAGGCTAGATAGGCTTTAACTGGCTGGTAAGAGGATTGGCGATGAGAATTGGCATACCCGACGAGTTCTCTGACCCTTAAAACCCCCGGGCACAAATTTACAACTCAATAGCTTCTTTTTAAACCATCAACATCAGCCTTGGCTAGGTGTTCTTTGTGTGCCGGCATAATCGCTCTCGATCTGGTACACGCCCTAGATAGATAGCTATTCCCTTTTCCACTTCATAAAATAGTGATCGGACTTTCCCGATTTCCCGTTATAGCTGTTCTTTGTGCCTTCGCGTAATCGCTCACGATCTGGCACATGCCTCTGATGGATATGTTCCCTTTTCCACGTCATAAAATAGTGAGCTATCGCACTTTCCCGGTTTCCCGTTTCATTTCGTTTTTTTCCCCTTCTTTGTGCGGTCGCGTAATCGATCACGATCTGGCACATGCCTCTGATAGATGCCTATTCCTTTTTAATATCCTTAAAGATGATGGACTAAGCCGTTCTCGTTGCGTTGGGGGTCACTATACTCAAATTTTTGGGACGGATTTTAACCCAAAGTTTTAGCCGATTCCTAAGATATTTTCGGATCGACAAGAGGCAAATTCTCTGCTATTTTCCCCCAAATTACATCCAAAGAACAGCCTGAGACTAGACCCAAATCCAAGTCTAGACATTAAGCACAATTGAGAGTTAACACAGTTAAGTTTTTTTGCTTTTTGTGATAGTGAAAGTGAAATTTATTCAATAATTCTAATCTAATCCAGTCTAGATTTTCATTATTTCAATTCGAATACGAAAACAAATCATTTCCAGATTCCACAGCGCTGTCTGTTTGCTAGAGATCTACCGGAAAACCTACAATACAAAGTTTTACGAGACGCTCCAAATGCGGGCTTTCTCTGTCGATCTTGTCGATGATCCAATTGAAGAACTCTAGAATTAAACATCAAAAAACATGTTGAAAATAAATTCTCCTTATTTTCTTAGAAATCTTTCTTCAGGAAGAGATTATTGAGGCGTGAATAATCTTTTTTTTTTTCCTTTCCGCCATAATGTTTTTTTTTCAGGGATTTTCTAAACCGGTGTTTTTCTTTAAGTTCTGAATTTTGAAAATCCTAATTTTGTGTCTTTCTTGATTATGTTTAATAAATTTTTAGTGAAATTTTTCAAACTAAAGTCAAACTTGCAAGTTTATGTTGCAAACTTGTCAAACTTGCGAGCAAACAGTCACTGAGTGTTTTCCTGTAAAGATTTAAAAAAAACTATCGTAATCAAACAATCATTTGAAAGAAATTTCTAGTATAGATATGAGAAAGCTATTGAAAAAAATATTATAGAGATAAATTATCATAATCTAACTGCTAGTTTTCATCTAATCAGTCAAATTTTAACTTTATAGACTAAGATGATATCAAAATTCGGTACTTTCCCGTTATACCCCCACAGCATCAATCCCGTTATACCCCCACAGCATCAATCCCGTTATACCCCCACAGCATCAATCCCGTTATACCCCCACAGCATCAATCCCGTTATACCCCCACAGCATCAATCCCGGAAGCAACCCTTTTAAGAACCCAATCAAAGTAATCGATCTTTCCCAATTCAGTTCTAGCCATGAATTCCGTAAGGTAGCTTTCCAAATGATGACGTGATGTACCGCGGTGCTTCTTATTCCGCCACTTTGCGCTTTCCCAAAGCCACTCGATAGTTTGTGTTTGAATAGAGGGTCCGTTGAATTAAGAAAGTTCTTTTTTGGGAAAAACATCATTCGGATAAATGCTAATTTTTTAAAATGTGGGATTGATGCTGTGGGGGTATAACGGGATTGATGCTGTGGGGTGATAACGGGATTGATGCTGTGGGGGTATAATGAGAGAGTACCCAAAATTCGAATGGAAACTAGCAGCTGGAGAGCAATAGCTTTGTAGAATAAACTCAAGAAGCAAAAAGCTTTTAAAACTTTGAATATAGAAAACGATTTCAAAACCTTTTCTGTTTTCATCGAATATTTCAAGGTATTCATATTCTTTATGGAATGTAATGCACTTCCTGAACGAGCTGAGTGCGACAAGAAAATGATGGCCATTCATAGGGAAATCGGAAAGGAATGGGTTAAAAAGTTCCGCTTATTTTCAAGCATCTACAAGAATTGTTTTCACTTTTTTTTTGTTCTGAGTACACCACTTTACTCAATAACAAGGATATTTTCGTATTTTTCCCTTCGCTTTCCTATCATTATCGTCTAAAATTGCTTTGATCACTTATTTTCATCTAAAGTATATTCATTTTAAAGCATTTTCTAAATGATATTCTTTTAAAAAAGCTATCATACTATTAGTTTACATCAAAATCAGCCAAATTTTAAAGCTTTGACTAAATCTTTGCATTTCTTAGCTAATGATAATTGAATTGAATTGAAAATTGAATGAAAACTGGTGGTTGATTGAAAAATGAATGAAAACTGGTTGATTACAATAATTTCTAATATAAATGCCTTTTTTGAAGTGGATTAGTTGCCGAAGATTTAGGGATTATTTGCCTAATCATTCTGTCTGTAAGCTAAGCCAGAAGTCACCCAGAAGTCGGGTGGACCTGGCTTATGGACCTGGCTTATGGACCTGGCTTATGGACCTGGCTTATGGACCTGGCTTATGGACCTGGCTTATGGACCTAGCTTCTAGCTCTGGGCCTATGGGATTATTTGCCATTCTTTCTACCTGTAAGCTAAGCCAGATATCGGGTGGACCTGGCTTATGGACCTGGCTTATGAACCTAGCTTCTAGCTCTGGGCCTATGGGATTATTGCCATTCTTTCTACCTGTAAGCTAAGCCAGATATCGGGTGGACCTGGCTTATGGACCTGGCTTATGAACCTAGCTTCTAGCTCTGGGCCTATGGGATTATTTGCCATTCTTTCTACCTGTAAGCTAAGCCAGATATCGGGTGGACCTGGCTTATGGACCTGGCTTATGAACCTAGCTTCTAGCTCTGGGCCTATGGGATTATTTGCCAATCATTCTGTCTGTAAGCTAAGCTAGAAGTCAGCCAGAAGTCGCGTGGACCTGGCTGATGGACCTAACTTCTAGCTCTGGCCTTATGGGATTATTTGCCAATCTTTCTACCTGTAAGCTAAGCCAGAAGTCGCGTGGACCTAGCTCTGGCCTCACTTTCCTTTCTTGGTTCAAAAAAGTACCAATGCTCAAGAAGCTGTTGCTCACTAAATGATTCAATCTCTGAACACCTTTTTACTCAAAAATCCAATTCCTTTACCTTTCTAGCCATCCAATCTTTTCAAATCTTTTCAAAAACAAACTTTCAAAAACTTTTACACCCTCGCCTTAAATGCCGACTATTTTGAAGCCTTTTTCCCCTTTCTTTAGCCTTTAGCCTTCAACGTATTTAGACCAAACCCGTCAACACATTCACCTTTTCTTTCGTAACTAATGACGCTTAGATCTTTGCTAGACTGGACAAAGCTTCACTAATTGTTTTTTTAAAGATGGATGATGAGACTACAGAAAAGCCACACAATCACAACTTTGTCCTATTCGGCGGATTGCTTTGTTTGATTTTATTACTCCCAATCGTTTATCTCTTCTACAAACTTTTTGTGCTATGGAGAATGAAAAAGGAGAAGTAAGGCTTTGTTTTTAAACTTAAAGCTCTTTATTATAGTTAATTGAGGATTCTTAAAAGTTAAAAATTCCAGAATCAAGCGAATGTTGAGAGAAAACGATCGAATCAAAGCTCTTCACCTAAAAGCGGCTACAATTAGAGCTCTGACAAAGCAAAGTGTTTCATCAACACCTGGTAAAAGCTTTAATAGATAATTTAGACAAAATTAAGTAATATTATTACCGTATTTTCTCTAATAGTAGTGCACCCCGGTGAGCCGAGTTGATGACTATTTTACGGTTTCCAAGCTTTCCCAGAAGTTCAACACTCTAATTATCCGCAAGATCTCATCGTCAGCTATATTTTCCGACCCTACATCGATAGGTTCTTAAAGGCGGTTCTCGAGATTTCGAGGAATCTAGGCGACGCTCAGGGTACACTACTATTAGAGAAAATACGATAGATTGAAAGCTCTACAATATCTACAAAGTCAAGTTAATGTCCGCGATTGTATGATATATGTAGATCTATACTCAAATACCGTATTCTCTCTAATAGTAGTGCACCCCGCCGAGTTAATGACTATTTTACGGCTTCCAAGGTTTTGCACAGAAGTTCAACACTCAAATCCCCCACTAGATCTCATCGTCAGCTACATTCCGACCCCACATCGATAGGTTCTGATAAGCGGTTCTCGAGATTTCGAGGGAATTTAGGCGACGCTCATGGTGCACTACTATTAGAGAAAATACGGTAATAACGTCATCGAACTTTCACTGAAAAAAAGCTCTTTGTGACTTTTGCAAACCTTAAGCTTTTAAAAATTGCCTATTCAATTTTTGCTTAATCTTTTCACTTTTCTAGAAACTCGAATGTCGACCAGTGCTTCCTCTCTGCCTCCTCGATTGCACACAGCACCAGCAGCCGTACTTCCGGGTTTAATCGAAACATCGACCACTCAAACGAAAGGAGAAAATCGACAAAATGGTTACTCTTTCAAAACACAGTTGAAAATAGCATAATATTTGAGTTTAGAAAGTCTAGACACGATTTAAGACAACAAGAAACCAAAAAACCAAAAAAGAAACTATGCTTAGGGATGTAGGACTTAAGCTAAACAAATGGTTTACCATGCTCAGATACAGGATAGCTGTCTTCAGAACGAAGCTTTGGCTTGACCTGACTCTAGATTCTGTCCTTGCTTGGGTAGAATTACTTTGCTTAAAGTCCTACTATTATCATTGTTATCATATCATTTCTCATTTTCCTTACAAAGTTTTTAATTTAAGACAATAATTCAAACCAAGAAAGAAACTATGCCTAGGGATGTAGGACTTAAGCTAAAGAAATGGTTTACCATGGTCAGATACAGGAGAGCTGTCTTCAGAACGAAGCCTTGGCTTGACCAAAGCTTTGGCTTGGCCTGACTCTAGATTCTGTCCTTGCTTGGGTAAAATTACTTTGCTTAAAATTCTACTATTATCATCGTTATCATATCATTGTTATCATATCATTTCTCATTTTCCTTACAAACAATTTTCTAGTTATTTAGGAATCTCTGAGCTCGATCCAACAAAAATCTCAAAAGCTCAATGTGTTGAAAGAAATCTGATGGACATTGGCCCTCTTCCACAGGATATTTCTGATTTAGAGGAAGAGATTGAAGAAAGAAGAAGAAAGCTTTTAAAAATGCCTTGATTCTTCTCGTTTATTATCAAAAATTTTGTATTTTTGCAATCCCAAAATCATTTTTTCTTTAAATTTTCATATTTCGGGTGTTCTACTGAACAGTATATTGTTTTTGCTTGTAAATCTTTGAACTTATTAGTGATCAAAGTTTGAAATAAATATAATAAATATAATAAATATTGATTTTAAAAAAAGAAAATAAAAAAAAGATGGATTGGGAAAGGAAAAGACAAGAAAAAAAAACAAAAATTAACAGATTTTTCGATTTTTTTTCTAACAAATTCATTCTTTATAATAAAATATTGTTATTAATTATTAGATGAACACTTTTTAAGTTAAGATTTGTTAGGTTGTTCGGATATAAACGAGCGTTTGCACTGCTTAATTCGTGAGACATTTCTCGCATCATCTCGTTCTCAATCCTCCTCAATTGTAGCATCAATGGCGTTGAGATAGAGTAGAATTTGAACATAGAAACTATTGAGCAAGTTCACGCGTCGTTTGACATCGATCTGATTCGATTGCAGCCCTCAAAGTACCGCTTGAGGTCGACGAGAGTGTTCATCATCCTCGAGACTTTCATCACCATTCCGAAAGCGTTGGAACCAGGCTCGGCATCGACTTTCGGACAAAAAATCATTCCCAAATGCTTTGACCAAATATCGATGGGATTCCGCCGCTGTTTTGCCCAGTTTGAAGTCGTAAAGTAGGCGAACTTGATATTTGAAGTCGATCATCTAAAGCTGAAGTCGTAGAGTAGGCGAACGCGAACTTGATATTTGAAGTCGATCATCTAAAGCTGAAGTCGTAGAGTAGGCAGACGCGAAATTGATATTTGAAGTCGGTCATCTAAAGCTGAAGTCATAAAGTAGGCGAACGCAAACTTTATATATTTAAGGTCGGTCATCTAAAGCAAGAAAAAAGTTCTTAAAAATAAGAAATTATCCGTTTAAAAAGATTCCAAATATACACAAGATAACGTACTTTTAAATAGAGAAAGACATCTTTTAAAAGCTTCTCTCACAACAATAAATTTAGCAACACTTGTTTATATCCGAACGACCTAATAGAAACATATCACAAGCCTTAAAATCCAGATCCAGATCCAAATCCAGATCCAGATTCAGATCGAAAAACGTACAACTTTATATCCGAAAAACCTAATTTAAAGAACTTTTAAGTTCTTCTTTTTAAACTCTTTATTGCTTTCAAATTAAAAACAAGAAAAATTGAATTAAAACGATTTTTGAGATCAATTGAACACATTAAACTTATTCCTTTTGAAGGCTTACTTTTGAAATTTTCTGATTAAACTCACATCATTTATTATCTATGTTTTTACAGCTTTCCATTCAATAAACAAAGCTTTTCGGTTCTTTTCCGTTATAAATCCACAAAATTTGCATCCATCCATGAAAATAAACAAGGAAAACCCAAGAAAATTCATTCTTTTGCTATTTTCTATAGGATAAAAGATGGAGAAAACCGGCTTTACCCAAACTCAAGTCAATCACAAGTACAACTTCGGTATCTATGACTCAAGAAAACCGGCTTTACCCAAACTCAAGTCAATCACAAGTACAACCTCTGAATCCATGACTCAAGCAAACCGGCTTTACCCAAACTCAAGTCAATCACAAGTACAACTTCGGTATCCATGACTCAAGAAAACCGGCTTTACCCAAACTCAAGTCAATCACAAGCAAAACTTCCTGACCTTTTCCATGACCCATTCACGTCTATGGGGATCAATCTTTATTGACTTGAGCTTTACCCAAAGCTCAAGCCATAGCCCAAAGCCAAAGCCAAACCAAATCAAGGCAATCACAAGTACAACTTCCAATCCATAACCCATTCACGAGCATCTATGGGGATCTACTAAATAGAGAAAGAAGAAGCATCGCGTCATTTCCTATTGAGCTACCTCGTTGAATCCAAAGTCTGACAAAAAGTTGGAAAAGACGATTTCTATGAATGTGTGTTGCAACAAATCCCTACAACATCAATTCCTCATTCATCTTATTTAGTTTATTCTTATTTAGACTATTAAATGATCAAGGGTTATTTTGGGATCAAGGGATCCAAGGGTTAGAACGGAAAAGAACTAGCTTTTTGGTAGATCTAGAATCTAAATCTAGAATCAGGGTTTAAAAAGTTTATTATATTAATCAAAGAATTTCTCTGCACATAACTCTATGACATCATATCGGAAATTGCAAAATTTTCTCCAAAATTCAAATGTTCAAAGGACAAATTCACAGGTGCACAAATTTTGTGTGTATTTTTGAAAAAAAAATATATGAAATGTTCCCAAATTGCAAAGAAAACGTGGCAGGGTTTGCATATACCAAAAAATAATGCATTTTTCATCAACTTTCACTTAAAGAGTTGTTGTTTCAGGTGTCACACGTGACTATATGAATTTTTTTTCTTTTTAAACAAAACTCATGATTTATAAGGATTCATTTGCGTTTAAATTTTCATCCTTTTCATCCTTTTCTATCGCTCATTTTCTAATGCTTTACTTTATTGTTTTCTTTTTGTTTGTGGGAAATGTTTACGGGCAAACGTGTGCCAATGCTGGTGCTGGACGTGAGTTCTTTAAGAATTGAGGATTGAGGCTAAATTTGAGGCGAAATGCTTTAGTTTTAAGCCAAAGTACACGCTAACTACAGTCGATTTTCTATAGGAAAGAATATGGACAAGTGATTCAAGCTATGGATAGGCTATAGACGCTGAACAAGTTATTAGACAGTTATTAGACAGTTATTAGACAGTTATTGTCTAGCTTACTGTAACTTGTCTACAGTAGGCTAGACAAGCCTAGCCTACTGTAGACAAGTGACAGTGTTTATAGTTACAGTATGGTAAACAGGTTACAGTACTAAACTTACAGCTACGGAAAGCTACAGTACTCCTGCCTACAGTTACAGCATGCTAGACAGTTTACAGTACTCTAACCCTAACGGGTTACAGCAAGTTACAGTACTTTAACTATGTAGTGGCAGTAAGTACAGTATCCTAACTACAGTACCATAACTACAGTACTCTAACTACAGTACTCTAACTACAGTACTCTAACTACAGTACTCATAGCTACAGTACGCTAGACAAGTTACAGTGTAGGTGAAAATCAACCTTATCATGATTTCTATTTGTTAACCAGTAAGCTGAAAGTTTTCTTTAAAATAAATCAAATCTTAGCGTGCATCAACGGTGCGTGCACAGTGCCCACACAAACTTGCGTACCATTCGGCGGGAATCCCGTTTGTTGCGCCGCTGGATCAGTCATCACCGCTACAACGGCCGCAACTTGTCGTGATCTTCTCAATCCATCAACTGGAGTATCCGATTGCCCGTCGAGAGCTTATCTCTGCCAAGATGGAACTTATTACAATGTTCGTTACTATTTAAACTTTCTTCTCTTCCTTCCTTGCCCTTCTCTGGCAAGAAGATATAAAATAGCTCAGTGGTTAGAGCACCCGGAAAGAAAAAAGATTTATGAAAAATGGAAAACTGGTATCAAAGCGAAAAGCCAAAAAGCCAAAGCTAAAGCCAAAGCCAAAGCTAAAGCCAAAGCCAAAGCCAAGGCCAAAGCCAAAGCTAAAGCCAAAGCCAAAGCCAAAGCCAAAGCCAAAGCCAAAGCTAAAGCTAAAGCCAAAGCCAAAGCCAAAGCTAAAGCCAAAGCCACAAAAAGCAAAAGCCAAAGCTTAGGGTTCAATCCTCTCTCCAGAAATCTTTCTTTGCCATTCCTTACTTTACTTTATTAGCCAATTGTATGTAGCTTTGGGTATCAACATTGAACTTAAATTATATCACTAATGGCTTAGGGGATTTCTGTAGGCTTTATGATTCGTTGATCCTTTATCTTTAGCTGATGACTCAGCAATGCCCAAGAACGTGTGGACGATGCAATGGTGTTGTTGTCACAACGGCTTCTTCGGGTAAATAGAAATAGAATTAAAGCATTGTGCTTATTCCGTTATCCAACTCAATATGAATCCAATTTCAGTCACTTGCCGTGATCTTCTCAATCCATCAACTGGAGTCTCCGATTGTCCGTCAAGAGCTTATCTCTGCCAAGATTCAACTTATTACAATGTTAGTTTGTTAACTAGTTTGTTAACTAGTTTGTTAACTAGTTTGTTAACTAGTTTGTTAACTAGTTTGTTAATTAGTTTGTTAACTAGTTTGTTAACTAGTTTGTTAACTAGTTTGTTAGCTAGTTTGTTAGCTAGTTTGTTAGCTAGTTTGTTAACTAGTTTGTTAATTTTCTAATTAAATAGATTGAACAAGTAAGTATGAAGTTTCATTAAAGTTTCTCAAAAATTCTCATTCTCATTGACAAATCTAAGGTGATGACCACGCAATGCCCAAGAACTTGTGGACGATGCTCGATCTCATCTGGATCTACAGGTAATTCTCTAGCTTTTTTCAAACAATTTGAATTCTAGCAACTTGTGTCGATCAAATCAATCCATCAACGGGTTTCTCTGATTGTCCATCACGAACCTCATTGTGCAACAATGCAAATTATGCAACTTTAATGAGACAACAATGCCCACGATCATGCGGTTTCTGCAGTGGAAAATAAAAGATTTATGAAGGAGTAATAAAGATTTTAAGCAATATAAGTATCTAGAAAACTTCAAGAAAAGCTAAAAGCATTATCTTCAACGTCAGCTTTTTAAATCCTTTAAGTATCAAGCTATTTCTTTCTTTTAAAGCCATTTCTTTCCATCTTTGATCTTTTGAATTATTGAAAAGTAGTTGTAAAGTTAAATGAATAAAGAACTTTATGAAAAAAAAATAGTTATTATGAAAGATATCTCTAATTTAAAGAACTCTGTCACTTCAATTTCCTTTCCGTTTCCTTTACTAGTGAAATTTTATACAAACGCTTTAAGCTACGATTTAAAAAATGAGGCTCATAATCGAATTTATTGCGGTCTGATAGCTGTGCTGGTGGGAAAGGGAAAGAAAATGGAGTGGTGATGAATGGATTAGATGGATCGGATGGAAAAGAGAAAGAGAAGCTCAATGCCGAGACAGCTGCTTCCACCAAGATCTCTTCTTGATCGAGATCCCTTTCCAACTTCTTTAAATCACTTTTATTTGACTTTTTTTTGTTCATCCAATCTCTCACGCCTTTTCCTTGCGACTCAGTGAATCAGCTTTGAGAATCAATGCTGATAATTAACACAGAACTTGAGATTTTAGAGACTTTTCTTATCATTTAATTGCCTTTGCCTTTCCATAGATAATTTACTTAAATTGAATATTTCATTCTAGAACCAAAGAACGTCTTGTTTCTTTTGATAAGCACACTTGAAAAGTCATTAGAAATGTATCTCTTGTCATCTCAATGATTGCACAACTTGATCTAAAGAATAGCTTGTCGCTAATAATAGCTAATATTTGTTGTTATTGCTAAGGAAACTGCTAGCTCTTGAAAAAGCTTTGTTTCAAGCCTTTTCCTTGCGACTCAGTGAATCAGCTTCGAGAATCAATGCTGATAATTAACACAAAGCTGGAGATTTTAGGGACTTTTCTTATACTTATCTTCTAATTGCCTTTGCCTTTCCATAAATAAAATTTATTTAAACATTCAAATCATTCTAGGAAAGAACGTCTTTTTCTTGATAAGCACACTTGAAAAGTCATTAGAAATGTATCTCTTGTCATCTCAATGATTGCACAACTTGATCTAAAGAATAACTTGTCGCTAATAATAGCTAATAATAGCTAATATTTGTCGTTATTGCTAAAGAAACTGCTAGCTCTTGAACAATCTTTGTTTCAAAATTCTACTTGTTTAAAAGACGCTCTATTTTCCTAGAATTGTCAGCTGATTCAAAAAAGAATGATTGGAATTCACATTTCCCCCAAATCCTTTTCTACTTCTATGTTAAGTGCCAAGTTTTGAACAAAAACTCGTTCATCATATTGCTTAAAAGCCTAGTCATTTCAAGAGAGCTCTCAATTGATGACAACCATTTAGATTCTTTTCACTCAACAGACTTTAGCTTACCTTTATCAGCTATACCATCATATTGATGTTCGAACTTGTAGCCTCAATCTTCAATTCTTAGCTCAATAGAAGCCAATTGATTCTTCTCTTCTAAACAATGGAAACCAATGAGTGTAAGCCTAACACTGACAATCTGTTTATATCACATTTTATAGTTGTTAGGCAGATCTATTCCATTTCGGCTTTAGTTTTTGGGCTTTGGCTTTGGCTTTAGCTTTGGCTTTGGCTTTGACTTTTTGGCTTTAGCTTTGGCTTTGGCTTTAGCTCTTTGGCTTTGGCTTTGGCTTTTTGGCTTTTCGCTTTGATACCAGTTTTCCATTTTTCATGAATCTAGAATCTAGAATCCGATATTTGTAACTAGAAATATTTCAACTGAAGTAACAATTTGGCTTTTAAAGGCAAGCCAATCAAGAACAAGAGTTAATTGCAATAGATTCTAGATTGTAAGACTTTTACGAGCTAGATCTACACCAAAGCTAATAGTGAGTCAGGAACTTATTGTCCTTCTAATCATTTATTGTCCTTTATTGTCCTTTATTGTCCTTTATTGGCCTTTATTGTCCTTTATTATCCTTCGTAGTGAATCTTGTAAATGACTAGAATCTTGTAAATGATTAGAAAAGTAATCTTCGTAAATGAATCTTGCACTAAAGCTTTTTCTTGTACTAAATCTAGCTTTTATTTGATCAAAATTGTTTTTTCTCTCTGTCAATTTTTGAACAACATATTGTTTTTTTTAAAAACTCTGGTTTCTTTTGCAAAAAACTAACTATACGATTTATATTTTTGCTGCATTCTAACTTGCTTTTGCGTAAAACGAATATTCTTCAGCGAGCAGTTTATCTCCAATTTTCGGCGGCTCCATTTCCTTGATTACTCTAGACATCAGAAATTTTAGATAAAAACCAATCTACTGCTGAAACAATTATTCTTTTACCTATAACCTTTTCTATTTAATAGAAGGAATGCAATGAGGGAATGGAGGTGGCGCGTCAACGCGTCGATGTGAGACCTCTTACTAATGGAGGGCCGCCAAGAAAAACCCAACCACTTCTTCCAACTAGGTGATAACTTAATAACAGTCAACCAGGGATTAAAAAGTTTATTAAGGTAAATACTGTAATACCCCACCCTCCTCGTACAGTCGCGTAGTCGCAAAAGTTTTTTAGTATTTCATTTTTTCGCGCTCGTACTTTCAAAAAATGAGTCTTTGGTATCAAAAAATAGCTGAAATTCAGGGCTATTTTTTGATACCTAAGCGAGCATTGTAGCATAAACCAGTGTCGAGAAAAACTCGTTCAAAGCTAGACTACGAAACACTCCGCACCGTCATTATGGGGATGCGGTACTATTACAGTATTTACGGTATATTGTGGTTTGAAGGTGATTTTAAAGTAAACCCGTAGAGAATAAAAGTGTATCAAAGCTCGTTCTATCAAATTTTGTGTACTAAAAGAATCTATAAGTAAAAAGATTTCAACTCTTCTTTTGTTTTGCTTTTAAATTGAAAATTCTTTAAGTTAATGATTTAAAATCGATTTAATTTGTTTATCTGATAACTTTAAAAGTCAATATTAAAATTTATAAATGATATGATGATTTTAACAAATTCTATAACGATTTTTTAGATCATTATCACCGAGAAAAACGATTCAAGAAGAAGTACAGCCATCTACCTCAGAAATTTGGGAGAAAAAAGAAGATTTGGGAAAATTATCGAAAAAAGTGGCAAGAAAAAAGGAAAATGGAGATATTGGAGTCATTCTACGAGTGCCAACTGAAGAAGAGATCCCAAAATTGCCACAAAATGGAGCACTTAGAAATCATTTGCGAATCCCGAATGGAGGTTTGTTTTTTGTAAATGAAATTCTTTTCGATTAAAGTAAAAAAATAAAAAAGATTTGATTTATGACTTTTTTAGTAAAGATTTGGAAGTGAAAATGGTAAAATCGTTTTACAATTTTATATATAGATACTTTATTCAGGAACTGAGAAAAAGTGCGCTAGATTTAAGGTTAATACACACGAATTCATACAAATAACACGATAAAAAGCAACACGACATAATAGATGTAATATATGGGTAGCACATATAGCGTCAAGGATTCACTAGAGCTTCGAGATCAAGATCATCTACAGATAAAGCAATATATGGGTAGCACATATAGCGTCAAGGATTCACTAGAGCTTCGAGATCAAGATCATCTACAGATAAAGCATATGGTACACATATAGCGTCAAGGATTCACTAGAGCTTCGAGATCAAGATCATCTACAGATAAAGATATGGGTAGCACAGATAGCGTCAAGGATTCACTAGAGCTTCGAGATCAAGATCATCTACAGATAAAGATATGGGTAGCACAGATAGCGTCAAGGATTCACTAGAGCTTCGAGATCAAGATCATCTACAGATAAAGATATGGGTAGCACAGATAGCGTCAAGGATTCACTAGAGCTTCGAGATCAAGATCATCTACAGATAAAGCAATATATGGGTAGCACAGATAGCGTCAAGGATTCACTAGAGCTTCGAGATCAAGAATATCTACAGATAATTTAAAGATTTCGAGACTATTGAACTCTCTCAAAACTCTGGGCAGTCGATTCCTAATTCTGGCAATTCATTGGAATTATTGGAAGAGTTACCGTATTTCCTCTAATAGTAGTGCACCGCACGGAGCCAAGTTGATGCCTATTTTACGGTTTCCAATTTTTCCCAGAAACTCAACACTCAAATCCTCCACAATTTCTTACATTTTCGATGAAAACACTTTATTTTCAATCAAAATCTTGACAACAACAAGATTCAAAAATGTTTAACATGCTATAATGTAAACGGATCCTTTTCAAAGAAATACTTTTATAAAAATTGACTCTATTCTTTTCTAATTGATCATTTATTAGTGATATTTGTCTCTAATAAATCCCCAGTTTCATTTAACTAACTCTAACTCTAATTGATCGTTTATTAGTGTTATTTGTCTCTAATAAATCCCCAGTTTCCTCTAACTTGGTCTAGGGATTACAGGAAATCCAAGCTAAGATCTGGCTTTAGCCAAAAAATTGGAAAAACCAAAGTTTTCCAATTTTTTCCCATAAGCCCAGTTTCCTCTAAATAACTCTAACTCAAATTTATCATTTATTAATCAACTCTAACTCTAATTAATCATTTATTAATCAACTCTAACTCAAATTGATCATTCATTAGTGAATGATCTCATATTTGTCTCTCATAAATCCCCAGTTCAGTTTCCATCTTATTACGTTTCTGAACAGCCATAAGCAATAAGCAAAAAAATGTCGAGAGTCTCGTTCATTACAACAGCTCAAGAAAAACGGGATCTCACTTTTTACGATTAATTACCTCTGGAAAAGATTGGAAACCTCTGTAGGTGATTGGTTAGACTTGGGCAACCTCAAGCCAAGCATCAGCTCGCGCCTGTCATCCCCTTCTCTTCTCCAGAACAACTCTCTTTTTTTCTTCTATCCACATATCCACTCATTGATCTTCTTCTTTTATTCTTTCAGCTTTCATTGTCATGAGGTTTCTCCTTCTCTAATTAGTTTACAAGAACATTGTTTGTTTCTTAATGATTTAGTTGAACTTTTTGGATGATGCTGATGCTTTTGAAGTAGCTTTTGATTATGAAGTAGCCTTTGATTTTGAAGTAGCTTTTGATTGTGAAGTAGCTTTTGATTATGAAGTAGCTTTTGATTATGAAGTAGCTTTTGATTATGAAGTAGCTTTTGATTATGAACTAGCTTTTGATTATGAAGTAGCTTTTGATTATGAAGTAGCTTTTGATTATTTCTCTTTCTAACTGTTTTTCTGTTAAACTTTAAACACTTAAACTTAACTTTCTTATCCTTACTATTAGATTTTCACTTAATTTTGCCTAATCTTAAACACTTTAAAAGTAAGTTAAAAGCTAGTGAATGAAACTTTATTTATTCTTCATTTTCTTAACCTAATATAGCTTTAAAACTCATCTTTAGTTATCTTCTCTTTAGAAAAAAAGAACACTGAGACTCTTAACTATTAGTCATTCAAGCAGAAATGATCTTTTCCGTCTAATGCCAATAAGCCACTCGAAATTCCGTCTAATGACGTCATCAAAACCTATTTCTTTTTAAAATCTTTTCTTTAAGCTTAATATTTTTATTTATATTATTATAATAAAGCCGTATGAAAGTAAAAAGTCGACTGTAGGCTAGGAAACAATAGTTAAAGTTAGTCAAAGCTAGTTAAGGCTAGGAAACAATAGTTAAAGTTAGTTAAGGTAGCTAAGGCTAACAAACAATAGTTAAAGTTAGTTAAGGTAGCTAAGGCTAACAAACAATAGTTAACGTTAGCTAAGGCTTGCAAACAATAGTTAAAGTTAGTCAAAGCTAGCTAAGACTAACAAAGCAGCTTTTTGATTGCTAAAGTTTCTAGAAACTAAATTCTATGCCAGTTTTCTCTAAACTCTAAATCACAATCTTTTCCTCTGCTTACACATTGGTTTTTTTCCGTGGAAAAATTTCATTTAAAATGCCCCAGATGCCATTGTTGGTGGTGTTCACCCATCATCGTCATCAAGAAGAAAAAAATCGAAAGAAAATTGAGCGAAGAGATCGAGTGATGCCTGTCTCGACTTCTTTACCTCAAATCACTGTGCAAGGTAGAAAAAGAGAGATTCGATCGTGAAGAGATCAGCAAAGAGATGAAATTCATCAAAAAATCTGAGCCTCTCATCGAGAATTCCCGCATATTCGTGACTACTTTTTTTCCGAAGGTAGACCCTTAAGAGATTCAAGGATTTCTTTACTTTAAAAAAACTACAGTAATCCTTTTGATTAGAGCTTTAAGCTTTAAGCAAAACCTCTTTTAAAACTCAAAAGTTTTTCTGTTCAATTCGTAGTGTTTATTGCTCTAGTCTTTCTTAGCCAATTCCGGTGATCAATCAATGATTAGTGATCAATCATTTGTGAAAGATTTCCTTGGATTGGATTGGAGTATTGGAACCGTATTGGAACCATTTAGATCGAAATAGGAACCGTATTGGAACCGTATTGGAACCGTATTGGAACCATTTAGATCGAAATAGGAACCGTATTGGAACCGTATTGGAACCGTATTGGAACCATTTAGATCGAAATAGGAACCGTATTGGAACCGTATGGGAACCTTATTAGATCCAAATAGGAACCGTATTGGAACCTTACTAGATCCAAATAGGAACCGTATTGGAACCTTATTAGATCCAAATAGGAACCGTATTGAAACCTTATTAGATCCAAATAGGAACCGTATTGGAACCTTTTAGATCAAAATAGGAACCGTTTTGGAACCGAATTGGAACCGTATTAGATCCAAATAGGAACCGTATTAAAACCTTCCAGAAATGTCATTCTTCTTCCTCTAACTTACTAATCACTTTTTCCTTCATTGCTAGCTGAATGAAAAATGAGAAACACTGAATAAAAATAATCTAACCATTGTCTCATTAACATTTTAAAAGCTTTGCTTGTTCTTTTACTAACATTTCAGAAAATATGACTGGCTCTGTGGAAGAAGAGCTTCTTGATGATGGACAAGAGATTAAAGAAACGACTCCAATGTTAACAGTTCATGTAAATGGACGAAGAAGTAGACGAATGGAGAATGGATGGAAGGGACAAACTGGGGGAATCACTTCTTTCGACAATGGATACGGGAGATCGAGTTCAAGAGATGGGAGAAGAAGTCCGTATTGGAATGGAGATCGATCAAGGACACCGACGCCGACGCCGATTACACCCACAACTCCTATTGCTAATGGCCATAATGGGATGAATGGGCATGCGAATGGAGATGCCAAACATTGTGCGCGGTTTAGATTTGTTTAGTACTCGTGTTTTAGTCAGCTATAAGAATCTTCTAGTCCTAAGTCAGGCCTCAGAGGTCACAGGTTCAAACTTGGTCTAGGGATTACAGGAAATCCAAGCTAAGATCTGGCTTTAGCCAAAAAATTGGAAAAATTTTGGTCATAGACAATGTGAAAGCATAATGATTTTATTTTGAGCTTGCATTTGAGCTTGCGCTGAGCTTGCACTTGAGCTTGCACTTGAGCTTGCACTTGAGCTTGTGCCTTAGACAAGTCTACCCATTTGGATCCTGGTTATCTCAATGATAATCTATAGAAATCTATAGACAATGTAACCAAAATTTTCTATAATAATGTAGAAGGAGAAGGCTACCCCTTCTCCTTTAGCTTGCGCCTTAGACAAGTCTATCCATTTGGATCTCTAGTTATCTCAATGATAATCTATAGAATTTTTAGACAATATAACCAAAATTTTCTCTAATAATCACATGTGTTTTCTCAAATAATCTTTTTAAAGCAAAGTTTTAAAAAACTATCGTAATATTACCTCTAACTTTATCTTAGTTTATGAAAGTAAAGAAAACTGAGATAAAGGTTTGTTCTCAAACGTTTTAACAAACCAAAAAGTCAAACGATCTTACTAACATCTTACTAACAAGTGTCAAATAGTAAAAAGTAAAACTAAAACCCTTTTACTCTCAGAAAACGTTTCCTCTCTTTTCTCTTTGGGTTTTGAAGTGAGCAATGGGGGAGAGACAAGTGAATATCCGGCATTTCACCCCTCTCAATCCGTTTTTATCGGCCGTTCGTATAACTATTCACTACTTTATCGAAAGCTGAACTAAACTAAAGCTTTAATTTTATTTTATATGGTCTATGCGTTATCATAAATACAATCGAACCTATCAACATTTACAAAATCCATTTCATTTTCGATCATCAAAAGGTTTAAGAGTTTGTTTAAGTTATTAGTTATTCGTTATTAGCTTTTTATATTCTTAATTGTTGTTAGATTAGATCTGTAGCGTTTAAATCGATTTTAAGACTAAAAGAATGAAAGAACAAGTGAATATCCGGCATTTCACCCCTCTCCAATCCGTTTTTATCGGCCGTTCGTATAACTATTCACTACTTTATCAAAAGCTGAACTAAACTAAAGCTTTAATTTTATTTTATATGGTCTATGCGTTATCATAAATACAATCGAACCTATCAACATTTACAAAATCCATTTTATTTTCGATCATCAAAAGGTTTAAGAGTTTAAAGTTCATTTAAAACTTGTTTAAGTTATTAGTTATTCGTTATTATATTGTTAATTGTTTTTAGATTGGATCTGTAGCGTTTAAATCGATTTTAAGACTAAAAGAATATGACATACCCTTATCTCAAGCATTGAAATAAGCGTAAGTCATATTCTTACGATTTACGCTTAACTTTTGATCCTTAAAGCCATTGAATTAAAAATAGAAAGCCGATTTCAAAAAAAATACCAATGAAAAGTCTAGAAAAGTGATAGCAATTCACAAAAAAACCCATTAGGATTGAAATTGAAATGAAATTGAATCGAAATTGAAAGTTTTAGATGTTGACAATAGTCGAAAAGAGACAGTGCACACGTATGACTTTGGTGATGATCCAATGCCGCCGGATACCTGTTGTTGTGGAAAATTCTTTATTTTAGTGAGTTTTTCAAAGACTTTTTATTCATCTTTGCTACTTTTATTGGAATAAATCATGTAATTGATCTAAATCATCTAAAATTTCATCAATTTCCTTTACAGAGAGGCTGTCGTTTCGTCGCAATTATTAGCTTAATATCAGTGCTTGCGAACACTGTACTTTATGCGTTTGGATTCACGAGATTTGGTAAGTTGAAATAAGAAATTGACAAGGATGAACAAGTGAACTGACAACTAAAAACCAACAAAAATCTAGGTGTATCAGCTTGGATTGAAATCGGTGTCTTGGTGCTCGAGTTTCTCACAATTTTCATGCTCTTTTGTGGTTTGGCAAGAAAAAGATCCGGCTTTCTTAAACCATATCTTTTTTTCAATGTAAGAAAAAAAGCTTTTAAAGCTTTTAAAGCAAATGAATGAACAGAATGAAATATTTTAGACAATATGGGCGATATGTCTTTGTATTTTGTTTATTATGTGTTTATGGCAATTGATACGAGGAGGCAATCTATCAGCAAATCTTTGGCGTAATCTAAAAGCTCTTAAATCGCAATCCGATCAAGAACGAATTAGAGATGTTTATCGAAAAAAAGAAGATATAAATGCTGGTGAGGAAATTGTTAAGAAAAGAGTTTCATTTTAACTTTTTGCAACGCTTTTTCTTCAGTCTAAGATCAGGAAAATCTCTTCAATCTTTAATGTTTTGAAAAGTTTAACAAAAATAACTTGTATTTCTTTGTATTTAAACAGATTTAGCCTATGAGTTTGTCTAGAATTGGCTCTCTAGAATGTCTAGAATGTCTAGAATGTCTAGAATTGGCTCTCTAGAATGTCTAGAATGTCTAGAATGTCTAGAATTGGCTCTCTAGAATGTCTAGAATGTCTAGAATGTCTAGAATTGGCTCTCTAGAATGTCTAGAATGTCTAGAATGTCTAGAATTGGCTCTCCATTAGGATACCGTACTTAGTAGTAGTCGTATAGTAGCGCCCCCTGAGCGTCGCCTAAATTCCTCGAAATCTCGAAAAGCGCTTATCAGAACCTATCGATATGGGGTCGGAAAATGTAGCTGACGATGAGATCTTGCGGAAAATTAGAGTGTTGAACTTCTGGGAAAGCTTGGAAACCGGAGAATAGTCATTAACTCGGCGGGGTGCACTACTATTAGAGAAAATACGGTATTCTAAATTCAACCAAAAAAAAACTTAAAATCATGTTTCTTTGTTTAGAAAAGAATTTATAAAATTAAAATAAGTAATAATAATGAAATAAAATAGTTCTACAATAACATTAAAGCTATTCCAGTCATAAGCGATTTCACTAAATCAATTCTAGCTTTACTCGGCATGGCTACAGCCACCGCAATGACCGCTCTAGCCTCGCTTATCGTTGTCGATTTCCTTTTTGTACAGGTAAAGCAAAGAAAAACTTTGAAGACACATAATAGCATACATTTTTATCAACTTTTTCTTTTAGATCGTTTACCGAACATTTCACTATCTCGCCTATAAAGAGGACAAAGCAAAAGAAGACAATGTGGGCTCGCAAAATTGCTAATTTGGTTTTTAAAAAGTTTTTTCAACATTCCATTTCATATTGCAAATCTGTTGTGATGTAAAAATTAGAAATTTTGATTTAAAATTTAGTCTAAATTGACTCTATAGCGATCTTTCTTTTGAAATTTTTGAAAACTTATAAGGGAGTGTTTAACAGGATGTGGTGGACATCAGCTATATACTAATCGATGTAGACTTTTGTGCTGATTCCGAATCTGCTTTCATTTTTTGCAATACAGCACTCTGTCAAAAGTTATCAATCCACAAAGTTTTGTATGGAAGCGCAGAAAACAGACCCTCTTATAAGTTGATTTACCACAAAGAAAAGCTGTCGTGATAGCCGAGTGGCAGTGGGTTTGACTGCAAAGCAAGCACACGGGGGTTCGAGTCCCGCGCTTGCCTCTTCTTTTTGCTTCTCGAATGGTTTGATTGTTTTAGCTATGTTAGATGGTCACCTTTGGCTCTCTGTATATCCAGAGCAACGGTGTGCCAAATCCTGTACGATTGTGGGTGCAAATAAAGAACACTCAAACCATTTAAAGCTAAAAGAAGACAAACAAAAGGACTGGGTTGGACTCGAACCCTAGGGTCTCAGCCTAAATCAACTTATAAGAAGGTCTGGTTTCTGCGCTTCCATACAAAACTTTGTGGACTTATAACTTTTGACAGAGTGCTGCATTGCAAAAACTGAAAACAGATTCGGAATCAGCACAAAATTCTACATCGGTAGTATATAGCTCATGCCATTTACCACATCTTGTTAACATTTCCTTCTTAGTCTAAATTCTAGTGTAATTTTTTTTTTGTGAAACGGGTGTTTTTCTTGTTCTTTTATATCGAAAATAAAGATTAATTTGATTTATTTCTTTGGTATTTTAAAGACAAAACCGGTTCATTAAAAGAAAAATATCATAAAAACAATAAAATGAAACTATATTTGTGCAAGGTTGAAGCAATGAAGAGAATTATTTGGCGTTGATCTTCGCGAGGTTGGTCTAAAGTGAAATTTTAAGTATTAAATCGCAAAATTCATTCATTTCTAGATCTAGAAGTTCGACAAAACCAGGAATTCTTTGAAAACAATGATTTTATTTGATTTGTCTTCCCTTGACATTTAAATTGACTTGGCTTTGCATGATGGCTTTGTTTTTATCAAACCTTGATACTTGGATCTAATCCATCTCCACTCAACCAAGCATTCACATCAACTTGCTCAGCAGCTTTCTCAAAAGCAGCATTCACTGCATCAATATACTTTTGCATAGCATCTTCCTTTGAAATCCCTTCAACAGATTTCCAAGCATCCCTAAAAGTCAAGAACTTTCTAGCTTCTAATTTCCTTTCTTATCACCAACCATTTCGCTTTCTCGATCAATTGATAGAAAGCTGGGCGCTCTGTGTTCACATCTCCAACAGTTGCCTGTTTAAAAAGTGAGTAGAATTTCAATTTGTCATCATTTGTTGTTGAGAGAGGACCTGAATAAGTAAGTTTATTTTGTAATCAGAATATTTTTTAATTTAAATCTACCATCTTTCGGTAATTTCTGAATAATGTCGACAGCAGCTTGAAATTTCTCTTCTAATGTCATTTCTAGAAAAAGTGATTCACATTAAATGTTATCATTAAAGAAAATAAAGGTTAAAAGAAGAAGGAAACTAAAGGATTGAGTTCTAAAATTCAAAATTACTTTAGAGGAAAACTAAAGGCAAAAAAATCTAGAAAAAGATGAAAGATCAAAGGCAAAAAACTTAGAAAAAGATGAAACATCAAATTTTTAAAAGAAACTTGATAGAAAAGAAACTTATTTAAAAAGATCTTTAGCTAATCTAGAGGTTAGAGTAAAGTTTAAGTAATAAAGAGAGACTCAAAAAAAAACCTTTTGATTTACTCATAGAATGGATTGGGGTGAGTGTGTGAAATGGTTCGAGGTGACAACTAGACTACAACTCCCCTTTTCTTCTCAATTTTCAAAAGATCGCCTTGATAACAAGTGTTATAAATTGAAGAAACTAATCGTGAAAAGTTTTCGTAAAAAAATCGAACGTAAACCTAAACAAATTAATGAAAAGTGTTTAAAAATAAATAATAGACATTCTTATTTCTAGATACAAGAAATTAACTGAAAAAAAAATGTTGATAAAGGAGATTTTTAAGAATAAAAACTATTTAAAATGTACCTTGCACTCATTTGCATTCACGAATCAATGGATGGATGTGTAAGTGTTGTGGTGGATGGATGGGGTGACCCACTTTAGAAACAACCGATTTCTTTTCTTTCTTTTCTTTCTTTTCATTCTTTTCTTTCCTTTCTATCCTTTCTCTTCTTTCTTTTCTTTCTTTTCTTTCTTTTCTTTCTTTTCTTTCTTTTCTTTCCTTTCTTTCTTTGCTCTTCTTTCTTTCTTTCTTTTCTCTCTTCTCTTCCTTTCTCTCTTTTCTTTCCTTTCTTTCTTTCCATTTTTCTCCTTATATCAACCACGAATTCACTTCTTTTGAACACAAAAGAGAGTAAAAGATATAAAAGATAAATGAGATTCGATTTCAAAGATATCTCTATCAGTTCTTTGCCCAAACCTATCAACAATCGGAACTTTACATTACTTGAACTCGAACAGATTGCAATAATTTTTCTTTTGTAAAGATAAACAAAGATTTAAGAGCTTTCAGATTATAGCAATTGTCTTTACAAACCCGACTTTTTTTAACTAGCAACTCTAGAGAATCATTTTCTCATTCTACAAATCAATATTGAAATAAACAATCAAAAAAATGCATATGAGCAATTGTTAGCCTTATCTTAATAAATCAATCGAATCAAAAAAAAACTTCAACCAATATGAGCTCTTGTAAGCGACGTGATCTTCGAGTAACTTCAACAAACGAAGACCTAAAGGAGTGTTTTGTTTAGAGCTGAAAAGTCAGCATCTTCGCTGTAATAGTCCAAAGTAAAACAAGGGAAACCACTACGAATAAGTGCAAATTTCATTGAATTCTTGTCTCGCCTGAATATCTGTCAAATTTTGTTAAACTTGATTCATTTCAAATCTTTTGAATGTGTTCAAGTTTGTTGTTTCGATTTTGTAAAAGATCCATTTTTAAAGGAGATTTCAAATTTCCCTTTCATTATTTGAATTCATTTAAGTAAGTAATCCGTTAAGTAATCCGTTAAATTGTAGTCCGTTAAGTAATCCGTTAAGTAATCCGTTAAGTAATCTGTTAAGTAATCCGTTAAATTGTAGTCCGTTAAGTAATCCGTTAAGTAATCTGTTAAGTACTCCGTTAAATTGTAATCCGTTAAGTAATCCGTTAAGTAATCCGTTAAGTAATCCGTTAAGTAATCCGTTAAATTGTAATCCGTTAAGTAATCCGTTAAATTCTAATAAATGTAAGTAATCCGTTAAATTAAAATGAAATAAAGATAACTGATTGATTAAATAATGTTTTGTCAAATAAAATGCAAAAGATTGTTTAAATAACATTGTTAAAAGAAGAACTTTAAGCTCTGTACAATTTTGGTAATTTAATGCCTAGAAGCTGAAGGAATTTGATAGCAATTTGATAACAATTTGATAATTTGCTTTGAGAAATTGATTGAAAAGAACAAGAAAATTCTTTCTTTTCTTTCAATTCAACATATCCAATCTAAAGATTTGAGGCGGCGATTGGGAGAACTCTGAAAGAAATGAGATGAAATGAAATGAAACCCAATGAAATGAAATGAACACGATTTCCTTTCCTGAATCAATCAACCAAGAAATTCAGTTATTTCTTGAAATCTTCTCATTCTTTATAAGATGACAAGAAAATCGCTATGCTTTCTGTATTTTTTCGAACTCACAATAATAATTGGAATCGTATGGCGAGCGAAGATTTGGCAACAATTTCTATTTGATTCAACATTGATTACTGAGAAAACGAATTGGGTAACAAGAAGAGATTTTTATTTACAGGAATAATTTGATACAAATAATATTAGGCAAATGCATACGAAATGCGAATTTCAGCATTTACATAAATTTCCAACGATAGAAAGCTGATGTTATAAACTAGAATGAAAAAGATGTTGATAAATGAAAATATGTAAATTTGAAAGTAGATCATTCCAGTGATCACGATTAAGGCAATCAACACAATATCATTGATATTGATTGGACTTAAAATTTTTGAGTAATTGATTTTACCTATTCACCTTTACGGTTGATCTATACGGTTGAACAATCAACACAATAGCATTGAGATTGATTGAACCTGAAAATAGTTGAGTCAAAAATCAATCAAAGCCTTTTGATTACCTAGTTATTAGGTAAATGCATACGAAATGCGGATTTCAACATTTTCATAAATTTCCAACGATAGAAAGCTGATGTTATAAACTAGAATCGATGAATGTTATAAACTATTTGAAAGTTGTAAATCTCCTCTACAAAATAGACTAAAACGTGTTTCAATTGATCGAAGCATTGAAGAAATTTCGAGGCCGAAATGCGAGTGACCAAAAAAAGGAATCGAATCACTTTAGGGACAAGTTTAGTGTGGTCAAAATAGAGTTAGCTTCCCAAAATTGAACGTTTATTCGTCCAAAATTGAACGGTTATAGTGGAAAATGATCCAAACGGTCATTTTCCACTATATAGTCAAAACCGAACTCTTGTGAAAGTGGGATTTTCAAAAAGTACCTTTTTTTGGTCACTCGCATTTCGCCCTCGAAAGATGAAGGTAAAGATGTAAAGAAAGAAAATGATTGGGTCATTTTTCACTATAAACGTTCAATTTTGGGAAGCTAACTCTATTTTGACCACACTAAACTCCCTAAATTTATCCCTAAAGTTACTCGATTCCTTTTTTTGGTCGCTCGCATTTCTTCAATGCTTTGATCAATTGAAAAACGTTTTAGCCTATTTTGTAGAGGAGATTTACAACTTTCAAATATTGGGTTGGTGAATTGAAAACTGCGGGACTTTGAACTAAAATTTATTCAACATAAAACCATGAATTCATTCGAAATAGTTTCCATTATTATTGACGACTTCTGCCCATTTTACAGGCAATTTGCGGATTCCTCTTTCGGAGTAGGATTTTGGTTTGTGTGTGAGACAAGTGTGAGACTCAAAAATGGAAATAAAAATGAAAAGCCCATCCAGATATCTCTAACGATTAGCTAAACAAAGAACTGACTTGAAGTTCTTAAACTATTGGGTTGGTGAATTGAAAACTGCCGGCTATTGTCATATGTGACAGTTTGAGCACTTTCTTCAAAAGAAACCCATTTTGGTGTCAATCGAAAAGTTGTAGAGAATCAAAAATCAAGCTTATATCCAAATTTTCTATTTATTCCGGACCATGAGTAATAAGCTTGCGGGAGAACACTTCGATTCGGAAGAAGCAGTCAAAAATTGGCTTTGAAAGTTTTTCGATTCAAAACCAAAGTCCTACTACGAAAGAGGAATCCACAAATTGCCTGTAAAATGGGCAGAAGTCGTCAATAATAATGGAAAATATTTGGAATGAATTGATGGTTTGATTTTGAATAAATTTTAGTTCAAAGTCCAGCAGTTTTCAATTCGCGAACCCAATAGTTTATAACATTCATCGATATCAGATTTCTATCGTTGGAAATTTATGTAAATGTTGAAATCCGCATTTCTTATGCATGTACCTAATAAATAAGCACAACTCTTAAGCTTTAAATGTATAGAAGAAAGAAAAAACCAATATATATGAGAAAAAAGAACCAATCTAGAATCTAGCCGGCGGGATTGAACTCTTAACCTTCCGACTAAGATCAAAAGCTTTCAGCCAATCGGCCATAGCAAAAAAATTTTAATAATCAAATAAGTTTTCTAATCAAATACAATGTTTAATTACTTTTTAATCTGACTTTTTTTAAAATCCAATTTGTTTTTTCCAGCGCTTTAAACCCTTCCCTTTTCAAATCACTCCTCGCAATGGCTGTGTGCCTGGGATCAAGGTTTGGCAGGAAATTTTAAGCATTTCAAAATAATATACAAATATTTAAAGTCTTTTAGACACTTTTCATCATTCACACATCTGTTTTGAATGAAAGACGACGAGCAGCGATTCGAGAAACGTACACAAATCCTGTTTGGATGGATCGAGTGCGTTCATTTCTTTTTGCTTAGTTTTTTTAATAAAAGCTGATATTAAAAATCTTATTTTTAAGTTCTTTTACCTTTTTTTAAACTTGTAAAAGTTTTAGTTTCATTTTCGAACAATCTTTGTGACGGCTAGAAGTGAAAGCGATCGAGTTGAAAGTCAATTAAAGGCAGAAAGTGATAAATATGGAGATATTTTACAAAATGGACATATAGATGCTTATCGAAATTTAACAATTAAAGTAATTATTGATTTTATTATTGATTTTATTATTGATTTAAAAAAGCTTTAAAGGCTTTAAAAGCTTTAAAAACTTTAAAAAGCTTTAGAAAGCTTTAAAAAGCTTTAAAAGCTTTAAAAGCTTTAAGAGCTTTCAAAGCTTTAAAAGCTTTAAAGGCTTTAAAAACCTTTAAAAAGCTTTAAAGAGCTTTAAAAGCTTTAAAACCTTTAAAGAGCTTTAAAAGCTTTAAAACCTTTAAAGAGCTTTAAAAGCTTTAAAACCTTTAAAACCTTTAAAACCTTTAAAGAGCTTTAAAAGCTTTAAAACCTTTAAAGAGCTTTAAAAGCTTTAAAACCTTTAAAACCTTTAAAGAGCTTTAAAAGCTAAAGCTTTTTTAGTTTCTTAATTGGATGCGTTATGTTCGTGATGAATGTCCAGATGTCGAGGCTATTTTGAAGCTTGATGGTTCGAGAGATTATCTTTATTATTTCTTTCAAAAGTTATTAATTCTACTAAAGAGAAATTTTAGATGACATCCTCCCAAATATTTTTGAAATTTTTCATGATTTTGATGCGAATAGAATATCGAAAGAGAACACAATGACTTGTTTAAAAGGACAAGATTCGAGTATAACCGTTCGCAATAAGAGCTCACATTGGTAAGAGCAAATTTTTAATTAAAAGCCGGAATCTGATTGCTGTACTTATACAAAAGTAAAGCTTATTTATGTTTAAAGTTAGTTTAAGCCTGGTGAATCTAAAGCTTAAAAGATTTAACTAGAGTTTAAGGCAGTTGAAATCAGTACATCTTATCAACACAATTCTATTAGATTTAAGCTTTTAAGCGTATGTTTATGATAAAAATCTAATAGTAAGTAATGCTTAGAATAGCTTTGAATGGCTTTGAATGGCTTTGAATGGCTTTGAATAGCTTTGCATGGCTTTGAATGGCTTTGAATAGCTTTGAATAGCTTTCATTAGCTTAGAATGGCTTTGAATGGCTTAGAATGGCTTTGAATGGCTTTGAATGGCTTTGAATGGCTTTGAATAGCTTTGAGTAGCTTTGAATGGATTTGAATGGCTTAGAATAGCTTTTAGTAGCTTTGAATGGCTTTGAATAGCTTTGAATAGCTTTGAATGGCTTTGAATAGCTTTGAATAGCTTTGAATGGCTTTGAATAGCTTTGAATAGCTTAGAATGGCTTTGAGTAGCTTTGAATAGCTTTGAATATAAATTACAAGAAAAAGTTGACAACCATATGACTGGCAACAGCTTGACCATTAAATTTCCGTTATTTCAATTGTCATTTGCAGGTATGTCTCACGCAAAGCTCATCCAGGAGACTATTGGGAAACGTTCTGCCACAGTTCGGCCATTATTTTTGTAACTTATCCTTTTATTTTATAAATCTAGACTTTGATTCTTTCAGTCACCCGATCTGTTCCCGAGATTAATCGCTCAAATCGAGAAAAAAGAGTTTTACACATCGGTTTGTTGGATTGGAAAGAATTTTATAGCCAAAATAGCCAAAATTATTTGTAAACTCTGAATTTTTTTCTTTAATATTATATAAATAGAAAAATAAATTAAAATCAAAATGTAAATGTTAATAAAATAAAAATGATTTAAAATAGAATGAATTCAAAGCTGTGATCGCTTTTAAACAATTAACAATTTAACAATTTTTGATTTAACAAGTATAGATTGAACCAACCTATACTTGTTAAATCAAAAAAAGCGTTTTGAATTGTTTAGATTAGTTTTATGATGATCGGTTGAGGTCTTCATGGTCTAAACTCCCCAAAAAAATGATGACTTTAGGTGGATGACGCTTTCATCACCGGACAAATCGCCAGTGAGATTGGGGGAATCAAGAGAGACTTTCGACTGTATGGGAAAAGGTATGTTCTTTTAAAGATAGGTTTAATAGAAATTTTTGAACTTAAAAATTCTATAAAAGTTATTAGGTATCTTCTCAACGGTCAACCGGGATGGGAAGCGCTAATTGACGTGCCAATGATCACTGGGAAAGTTGTTTTTGGTGTGTTTTGAATTGAAACTTATACTTAATTACTGGCATTTGGCTTTGCCTTTGGTTTTGGCTTTGGCTTTGGCTTTGACTTTGGCTTTAGCTTTGGCTTTGGCTTTGGCTTTGGCTTTAGCTTTAGCTTTAGTTTTGGATTAAGCTTTAGCTTTGGCTTTAGCTTTGACTTTGGCTTTAGCTTTGGCTTTCCCTTTGGCTTTCCCTTTGGCTTTAGCTTTGGCTTTGGCTTTGGCTTTGGCTGTAATCCGTTTAGAGTTAGAGAGGACTTTTGACGCAATAATTTTGTCTTGTCAGTACTCATGCAATAACTTTATCTAGAGTTAATATTGTTAAATTTTTTATATATTATAGTTTTACAGCTAATTACAGCTACATCTTTTTCTATTCTCTAGAAAAAAAAAATCCGTATGTAAAATAGAATCAAAGAGAATCAAAACAAATGAAATCATTAACCGGATTCGTTTTTCCGTCATGTTTTAAATCCATATTGCTATGAAGATTATTTGTAAAGCTTTTATAAAAAGAATTTTCTTGATTTCCAGGTGAATACGTGACTTCAACACAAATGAAACGAATCTTTAACGAGTTAACGATTTTACGAGGAAATGTCACCGATCCACCTGATCATTTTCCACAATCCGTCAAGCAAGGACCAATCAATGAAGATTAAAAAACAAAAATTCGATCTAAAATGGATCTAAAATGAATCTAAAATAGATCAAAATAGATCAAAATAGGAGAAATTGCTTTACAACTCCTTCACTTCTTCGAATCTCTGTCTCATATCTCTTTTAATCAACAAATCAATCCAAAAGACAAACATTTTCTGTGATATTTTGACTTCTCTTTCTTTATCAAGCCGTAAATGAATCCAGATTTTAAATAATTTCAATATTTTTACAAATCAAAAATTGTATTTTATGCCGAATGGTAGACGAGTCAGAATTTCCTAAACTTTCAATAAAGAATTTCAATTCAATTCAATTTCAATTCAAAATAAATTACCTTTATTCTCTTTCGAATCGTTTTTGAGCGATGTGTTGTGCTTGAATTTATATGAGCAGATTGCGGAATGTTTCGCTTTTTAAGAAGAGAGAGTTCTTCAAGAATTTCTTCCTAAATTTGAATAACTTTTGAAGAATAAAGTTAGCGTAAATCTTTTTAGTATTTCATTTTTTGAAATAAAGCCCTGAATTTCAGCTATTTTTTGATACCAAAGATGCATTTTTTGAAAGTACGGGTGCTTTGAAAAGTATTTCATTTTTTCAAAGCGTCCGTGCTTTCAAAAAATAGCTGAAATTCAGGGCTATTTTTTGATACCTAAGCGAGCATTGTAGCATAAACCAGTGTCGAGAAAAACGCGTTCAAAGCTAGCCTACGCAACGCTCCGCACCGTCATTATCTTTGGTATCAAAAATACGTCTTTGGTATCAAAAAATAGCTGAAATTCAGGGCTATTTTTTGATACCTAAGCGAGCATTGTAGCATAAACCAGTGTCGAGAAAAACGCGTTCAAAGCTAGACTACGCAACGCTCCGCACCGTCATTATGGGGCTGCGGTACTATTACAGTATTGACGGTAAGTTCTTTTGCTTACTGATTCTGCTTTCCTTTTTCTTTACTTGCTTTTCATAATCAATAATGTACATTAAGATATTTTGAAAAGTTTCTCCACCCACCTTCACCTTCTCCCTCTTTCCCCAAACCATTTCATAAGTCTTGAAAAGAAATTTCTTCATCATTATCTTCATTATATCCATTTCGTTAAGCAAAATTTGAATATCTTGATGAATTCTTGAGAAAGCTTTAGAAATTTCTTCTCTTTCGATCGTTTCAAGACTTCTTTTATGAGCATAAAATCTTGATGTTGAACGAACGAAATTTCTGAATCAGCTTTTGAAATCATACAATTCTTTTACAGTTTAACTTTAAACTGTAAGCTTTAAACTGTAAGCTTTAAACTGTAAACTGTAAGCTTTAAACTGTTAGCTTTAAACTGTAAGCTTTAAACTGTAAGCTTTAAACTGTAAGCTTTAAACTGTAAGCTTTAAACTGTTAGCTTTAAACTGTAAGCTTTAAACTGTTAGCTTTAAACTGTAAACTGTAAGCTTTAAACTGTAAACTGTAAACTTTAAACTGTAAGCTTTAAACTGTAAAAGTTGAAACTTTCTAGTGCATACCCACTCTCAATTCGAGGAGGTAGTGACAACAACAAATGAGACTGCTCCCTTTGGGAACAGTCATCGAAATGGGTACAATTTAAACCCTTTAAACCCTGCTAAAATCTCTTTGTAAAGAATTAAATAGTAAAGTACTTTTAACAGGTTTAAACTTTAAACTGTAAAAAGAATTCTTAAAAAAACTCACGATAACTTTGGCTTCTTCACAATGAGCTTTGTTGATTGGGATTTGATTTCTTTTGAGCTTTGAGCTTTGTTGATTTGATTGACAGTTGACACAATGAGTTTTGTTGATTTGACTTCTTTTGAATCATATTTTGTAAGATTTTTGGATAAAATCGGCTTTAAAGTTGTTGTAAAAAGCTAAAAAGTCTTTTAAAAATAATGTTTATAATTTCAAATTCTACCTGCACAGTTTTATCTCTGATTTCATTGATCTTCTTAATAAAATTTGTTGAAAATCCAAGATTCTTATCCCTTTTCGTTGATTCTTTTATTGAATTCGAATTCGGCAAATAAGAAGCTTTTGATAGCTTTTGAATTTTGGATAGATTTAGCGTTGTTTCAATGGGTTTTGCTTCGAGAATCGGCTCCATTCTCTCGACTATTCTTGTTGGTAGTGAAGATTGAACTGGATCGAATGGGCTTCTCATCTGAACGGCTGGATTAGTTTAAAGTTTGAATCTAGTATCTAACATTGAATAGTTCTAGAAGCATCCTTTACACCACAATTTTTTGATTTACATTGGTGTTTTGTAAGCACAAATAAACAAGCAACAAGTAAAATGCTGTACAACAAACGCTAGTTCAGCTGATTATTTGTTCCATTCCTTCCTTACTTCCCTACTTACTTACTCATCTACTTACTTCCTTACTTCCTTACTCATTTATTTACTTGCTTACTTACTCATTTATTTATTTGCTTACTTCCTTATTTACTTACTTCCTTACTTACTTGCTTACTCATTTATTTACTTGCTTACTTCCCTACTTACTTACTCATCTACTTACTTCCTTTCTTCCTTCCTTCCTTTCTTCCTTCTTTACTTACTTTCATGCTATCAATGCTGATTTTAGATTACAAATCTTTTTCTATGTCAATTATTTCAAAACATGAACTCCTTTTTAGATTTAAATCGATTTTTGAAAAAATTTCAAGAATTTTTAGGTAAGGATCTAAAATTTTCAAGCAAATCTAAGCTCTGATACCCTCTCTTTCCACCGTTCCATTGCATCTTTCTCATAAAAAGCCTTGATTTCAGCATTTGTTAGATTTTGATTTAAATCCTCAATAAGTATCTAAATATGAAATCTCAATTTTGAAAGCAAAAAAAAACAAAAAAACAATACCTGATCATCATAAATTGTTCCTTCACTTTCCTCGATTGGCTCACTCCGTTTAAACTTGAAGCTTGTAGAAAAAGAATTTGCTGAATTTGCTTTTTTTTTATTTTTTAAGGTTTAGCTGGCCAAGCTGTTGCCAGTCATATGGTTGTCAACTTTTTATTGTAATTTATATTCAAAGCTACTCAAAGCTATTCAAAGCTACTCAAAGCTATTCTAAGCATTACTTATTATTAGATTTTTATCATAAACATACGCTTAAAAGCTTAAATCTTATAGAATTGTGTTGATAAGATGCACTGATTTCAACTGCCTTAAACTCTAGTTAAATCTTTTAAGCTTTAGATTCACCAGGCTTAAACAAACTATTCAAACAAATAAAACTTACCACTAACACTAAACAATATAGCAAATATCCAAATTTTTAGCATTTTCTTTGAGCTTGAATGTACTTTGAAAGAAAAAAATGACTCAATCCAGTTCTCCGAAAAGCTTTTTCAACGGTTTTGATCAAAATTCTTTTCTCTGATTCGCAAATTTCGGGAAAAGGTTTGTAAATGGAATATATTGAGAGAGAACAAAGAGCTAAAATGAGAAAAAAAAACGTCATGTGAAAAGGAGTTCTAATTTTTGAAAGAGCTGAGTCTAAGTGCTTGAAAGACAAGGAGACAAGTCAAGATTAAGAAGCTATTCTAAGCCATTCAAAGCTATCCAAAGCTAGTCAAAGCTATTCAAAGCTATTCTACGTTTCCCAATAGTCTCCTGGATGAGCTTTGCGTGAGAAATACCTGCAAATGACAATTGAAATAGCGAAAATTTAATGGCCAAGCTGTTGCTAGTCATATGGTTGTCAGCTTTTTATTGTAATTTAGATTCAAAGTTATTCAAAGCTATCCTAAGCTATTCAAAGCCATTCAAAGCCATTCTAAGCTATTCAAGATTAAGAATAGTCCTCCGAAATTTGCGAATCTCCAGATATATATTGTGATAACTCTGCTTTTGATAAACCAAATAAACAACTTTACTTTTCCAGCTTTTCCAGCTTTTCCAACTCTAAATACCTCTCTTTTCCTATACTTTTTACTCAAAAAATTTCTTTTTTTTCTATTTTCTGATGCACTAAAGCTTTAAACTAAAGTAATTCTTAGAAATGCTAAAACAAACAACTCAATTAATCGCCAATTGTGCTCAACGACCTTTCATTTACGGAATGATACATGTCCCGGCACTGACTGGGTAAAGAAAATCTTTATAATTTAATTAAAATCCTTTTTAGTTCTCCTTTAAACAAATATTCAATGAATAAAATTGTCAAAATCGTTCAAGAAGAAGCAGAGATTTATAAAAAAGCGAAAATTGATGGGTTAATTGTGGAGAATATGTGGGATCTACCATATGTGAACAAGGAAAATTCTGGACCACATGTATTTTCAATATCCAATCTTAGAAATGAAACTTTTCCCAGGTAATTGCTCAAATGACGATGGCTTGTCAGGCAGTCAATGAGGTTCTCGGAAAAGAGAGAGCGACAATGTCTTTGGGCATTCAAATACTCGCTGCTTGCAATCAAGAAGCGATCGCTGTTGCTCAAGCTACTGGTTTGTGAAAAGCTCAAGCTACTGGTCAAGCAATAATGCCAACTCTGACGCTAAGAACTATAGATTTTTATACAATAGTCTTTAATGATTCAAAACTTTACTGTTAATCATCTAAAGACCCATGGTTGGTCTTTAGATTGGTCTTTAGATTGGTCTTTAGATTGATCTTTAGATTGATCTTTAGATTGGTCTTTAGATTGGTCTTTAGATTGGTCTTTAGATTGGTCTTTAGATTGGTCTTTAGATTGGTCTTTAACTCCTTACAATTTCTTTTTTCCAAACTTCTTTTTAAAAATAATCCTGCCACCAAAAGAAATTTCTATTTGAACTATTAAAAAGCTTAATTGTTTCTCTGTAAAATGGTTGTTGAGAAATCCTTGAAAGTAATTGTTTTTGTGACTTTTCAAAGGCGTAAAGGTGACTACCCAATAGTTCAATTTCCGAGCTCCGTTGCCAAAGTCACAATTTAGACACTTTCTTCAAAACAAACCTACTTTGATGCCACAGTAAAAAAGATAGAGCTTATTTGATTACATAAGTCTGTAAAATTTGAAAACGATCCGTTCAGTCATTTCGTTTAAAACAGCAATTAAAATTGAAGCAAAAAAATTTTGATCGAGTCGAGAGCTTTAAGACGAGCTTTAAGCTTTCTCTCAAAGTTTTTTAGAGTGATTAATCTTTTTAATAGTTTAAGAAACAAAAAAATAACTTTGTTAAGGATTTCTCTTTATGGAAAAAAGATTTGAAAGAAATTGTAAAGACTTATGCATTAATCTAATACAAATTGATCCAAGATCTTAAAGTAATTGACTTATCAAAGTTTTTAATCATTAATCTTTTTATCTAACTATTAGATTCTTAGAGTTAAAGTGTGTTTCAAAAGAAAATCTCATTAATAAACTAGGATTTGACATGATCCGAGTTGAGAGTTTTGTTTTTGCGAGTGTCGCTGATGAGGGATGGTCGGAAGCATGTGCTGGACCTCTTCTTCGATATCGAAAAATGATTGGCGCCGATAATGTCGCCATTTTCACAGATATCAAGAAGAAACACAGGTAAAAACACAGGTAAACTTCATATTTTCCTGATCAATAATTGATTTAGTGCACATGCGATCACTTCCGATATCACAGTTGGTGGGATGGCTCAAGCAGCTGAGTTTTTCTTAGCTGACGGGGTTATAGTGACTGGTGAAGCGACGGGGAGTGCTGCTGAGCCAAGAGATGTTACAGGTTAGATTATTTAGTAATTAAAGGTTAGAAAATACCATTCTATATCATTCTAGTACTTTAGTTTTGGCTTAATCTTTTCAGGAAGTTTCCAAGTGAACTTTTTGACAAAGCCAACTTAGAAAATAACATTCTATTAGATGTGTGAAAAAGTAATCCACGTTTTTTAACGTTTAAATATAAAAGACCATAAGTTTTGTTAAAATAATTTTTATTCAACGAAGTAATCACCATTCGAAAGAACAACCTTTGCAAACGTTCTACAAGTAAAGACATTCCACGATAAGAAAAATCTTGGTCCGTAGAGGCGAAGAAAAGATCAACCTCGGTTTTGACATCTTCTTCGGAATTGAACCGTTTATTGGCCAAAAAGTTAGACAGAGACAAAAATAAATAATAATCAGATGGAGAAAGGTCTGGACTATAAGGTGGATGTGGTAAAACCTCCAATCCAATACTCTGGATTTTTTGTCGAGTCTGTAAAGAGACATGTGGTCGCGCGTTATCATGGAGCAACGGGACACCTTTCCTATTTACCAATGATGCGCGTCTCTCAGTGAGTTTTTGTTGGACTGCATCAATCTCGGCACAATAGACATTCGAATTAATCGTTTGGCCTCATGGTAAATAGTCTATGCGCATAATATCACGTGCAGTCCACCAAACTGTCATTAAAATTTTTTTAAGATGGAGGCTTTTTTTGGGCATTGTCCCAGCAGGTTTACCACGTCCAGACCTTCTAGAATTATCGTAATCAACCCATTTTTCATCACACGTAACAATTCGATCAATAAATGGCTCAAGTTGATGTTTACTAATCAAAGAATTGGCGATTGTAAGACGCATTGTTTTGTTTTCTTCGCTCAATTCATGCGGTATCCATTTGTCCAACTTTTTGATAAAATTCATGGCATTCAAGCGTTTCCTTACGGTTGACCCATCACAATTTAATGGCAATTTAATGTAAGGCCTATTTCTGAAAAGGTTAAACGAGGGTTTTCGAGAAGACAGCGTCTTATTTGGTCATCAGATAAAAATAAAAAACGTGGATTACTTTTTCACACACCTAATATATCATTCAATTGCTCTAGTTTTGTCTTTTCAACAACTTTCCAAGTGAACTTTTCAGAAGTGAAGGAAAAAAGCCGACTTCCTGTTCTAGTTGGCTCTGGAATTACAAAGGAAAATGTGAATTTGTATAAAAACTGTGATGCACTCATTGTTGGCTCGTATTTTAAAGAAAATGGACAATGGAAGAACAAACTTGACGCAAATCAAGTCAATCAATTCATGAATTTTGTTAATACTTTAAAAAGATAAAGGATTTTTAGCTGTTTTTTTCAGTAAAGCAATTTCAAAGAAATTTACACTTTAAAATTTGCTTTTTTTCTTGAATCCAAAGCATTCATATGAAATTATTCAAAAGATTGTAAATCTTTTTCATTACGATTCCAGGTTTCTATAGTCACTTGCTTAATTTTCATTTAAAAATTTATATCAAGATTTCTATTGGGTTGGTGAATTGAAAGCTGAATTTGAACTAAAATTTATTCAACATAAAACCATGAATTCATTCCAAATAGTTTCCATTATTATTGACGACTTCTGCCCATTTTACAGGCAATTTGCGGATTCCTCTTTCGTGGTAGGATTTTGGTTTGTCTGAGAGTCTGAGACTTAAAAATGGAGGATTGGAGATGTCCCAGTTTGAGCATTTGAGCACTTTCTTCAAAAGAAACTCATTTTGGTGTCTATAGAAAAGTTGTAGAGAATCAAAAATTAGGCTTATAGCCAAATTTCCAAAAAGATACACTTAGTAGTTTCGCTTAAAATGCAAGCTGTGTGAAAATTTCGTAAATTTGGCATTTCTTGAAAACCAGTTTTTGAATCGTTCTGAAAATTTGGATATAAGCTTGATTTTTGATTCTGTACAACTTTTCCATTGAAGCTAGGGATTCTAAGAAGCTAGGGATTCAAAATTAAATAGCCCGGAGTTTTCAATTCACCAACCCAATATATATGAGTAATATTATACCATCAAGCTTTCTAAATCCAAGAATTTGTGTCTACTTTTATCGCTTGGTCATTGAGGCATAGCATCTAGAATTCAAAAATGTTTTTGGTTTAAAAAAAGTTATTTATTTGGTTTATCAAAAGTAGAGTTATCACAATATAAATCTGGAAATGAATTTTTTTAAATGCAAATTAGATGGCTGCAGAAATTTGGAAAAGTACCGCTTTTTCAAATAGCGTTCTACAACTATTTGCTTAGATCAGCAAACAGAAATCATTCAGAATAACAGTTTGTTAAAGGAAGTTCGATGCAATGTGATTTGTCGGCGAGTCCTTTCACCTAAAATCCCTCCAATTCTTCGACTGTTTACTCGATTGCGTGTACTGATCCTCCCGGTGGCAAAGATCTTTTCCTCAATTCAAATTCTTCTCCCAATTAGCACCCACTTTTAGCTATTCTTTCTTTCTTTCTTTCTTTCTTTCTTTCTTTGCTTTCTTTCCTTTCTTTGCTTTCTTTCCTTTCTTTCTTTCTTTGCTTTCTTTCTTTCTATCAAATAGTGACCGCCTTGCTAAAACCTTGCCAAAGGCATTTCTTTCTTTTTCATTTCAAAGGATATTCTAAAAGTTCGACAAATCTTCGAAAACGTAGAAAAGCTGGCAGGTAAATGACTCAGCTAGAAGAGAAGCTTTATACCAAAAGAGTTTGCCAGATCACAAGTGATTTCGCGGGCGCACAAAGAACACCTTGAATCCTATACATAAGGATTTTCTTTTGCATTTTGGATAGCAAAAAAAAGAAGCTATTTAGCTGTAAATTTGTGCCTGGGGGTTTTCAGAGTCAGGGAATCGATTGACGCTATTCATTTCTATTCATTTATCGCATTTATTTTTATTTTTGAAACCTCTTTCTTGATGATTTGAGTATTATCAATACTTGCAAACATTTTGTACAAAGTGAAAACGTTAATAAAAGTGAATTTGTATATAAAATCTAAAGAAAACACATAAACTTTAATTTGAAGGAATTGTTGGATATTGTCGTTTTTCTGATGAAAGCAGAATCGAAAGCGGAAACCCATATACCGGAGGGTTTGCCAGATCGAAAGCGATTACGCGACTGCGCTGGTGAAAGCAGAATCGAAAGCTGAAACCCATATACCGATCGAATGCCAGATCGAAAGCGATTACGTGACCGCACAAAGGACACAAGTGATTTACATAAGGATTTCTCTCTTGCTTTGTAGATTGAAGCTCTAAAAAAAGCTATTTAGCTGTAAATTTGTACCTGGGGTTTTTCAGAGTCGGGGAATCGTTTGACGCTGTTCATTTCACCAATTCTCATATCCAATCTCGAATTAGATTGAGAGACTCTAGAGACTTTTTTGTTCTATACTTGATAGAAGACTGTGAGGGTAATCTTTGAACAAATTACTGTAATACATTCTGCTAAATTGTTGTTCTGATATTTAGAAGTATTTAGTGAGATTTTGTCAATCTTTTTGCCTTAATTTTATTTATATTTTCTTATCAAATTCTTAAGCTAAAACTAGTTAAAATTAACAAATCATTCCTTCTTTATAATCTTTAAAATATTTCAATTTTATTAATCTTAACCAGTTAATAGTTTTGTTTAAAACTTTAATTTATAGAAAGTCCCTAAGAAAAACGATTTAAAAACGATTTGTCATTTGTCATTTGATTTGGTTTTTACCGATTGGTTTTTAAACCCATTGGCATTTGGCTTTGGCTTTGCCTAGTTTTTAAAAATTTAATTTATAGAAAGTCCCTAAGAAAAACGATTTGTCATTTGTCATTTATTTTATTTAAAAATGCTTATATTTTTTGTTTAGATCATGGTCGAGAAAAAGTTTGAGCAGCATTACTGTTTAACTTCAAAATTGGAAAGTCTGCTGCCGAATCGCATCGTTCTCTCTGTGCTGCTTTCGGAGATGGCAGTTTGTCTCTTAGGCAGTGTCAGACTTGGTTTCAACGATTACGAGAGGGAGATGAGACTTCGGAAGATTACGAGCACGGTTCAAGGCCAGAAGTCGTGAATGAAGCCAAGCTAAGGGACTTTATTCAGACCGATCCATGCCTATCTGCTCGAGATCTTGCGAAAATATTTCATTGTGATCATGTCACCATTGAACGCCATCTTTTTTCTTCAATTTACCGTCAAATTGGCAGTTTCTTTTGCACCACCCTAATACCGTATTTTCTGTAATAGTAGTGCGCACTACTATTTTTTCAACCCTCCTTCTGCCTGCACTACTATTATAGAAAATACGGTAGTTAAAATTAACAAATCATTTCTTCTTTATAATCTTTAAAATATTTAAATTTTATTAATCTTAACCAGTTAATAGTTTTGTTTAAAACTTTAATTTATAGAAAGTCCCTAAGAAAAAAACGATTTGTCATTTGTCATTTACCTTTCCGATGAAAACTTGTGTTATTTGTTGTAAACGGAGAAGTGGTCTGTCCGATCATTCTTTCTCCCCACAATACATTTTCAGTTCAATCTCTTTTCTCATTTCTTTTCTCTTTTCTCAATGGCATGTCCAGGTCTGTTTGTCATTGGCCTTTTCGAATTCTCTTCTTTGAAATGGCCTTCCCAACACAATAGATCGAGCGACTCTTGTAAAAATTGAGGACCGCTAGAAAAAAAACCCAACAAACCCAACAAACCTTTCAAATTTTTTCTTTTCGTTTCTTTGAGGGGCTTTTTTTTCTGAGAAACGATTGAGGTTTGTGCGATTGTTATTTTCGAGTACAGATTCGGTGAAAAGTAAAGAAATACAGTAAGATGAAAACAATATTTGTCATTGAAGGGAAAAACTGCTTACACTTGCTTACAAAAGATTGGAAAATTTCAAAAGAAGTTTCAAAACAGTTTTCTTTGTTAGGTAAAGGTAAGGTAAAGTTTCTTTATTAAGTAAAGTTAAGTCAAAGTTTGTTTGTTCAGTTAAAGGGATACTCTAGTCCCCAGCGAAATCCGATTCTTGTTTTGAACATAAGCTGTTTACAGCCAACTCTTTGCATTACCGATTTGGCCGAGTGGTTAGTGCTCTGGCGAACGACACCGACCCTCGAGGGTTCGAACCCCTACGTCGGCCCTTTCTTTTTTCGTTTTTCTCTTGTAGAGAAAATTGAAACGCGTCGATTGGTTAAAACAGTTTTCTTTCTTAAGTTAAGGTAAGATACTTTATTAAGTATAGTTAAGTCAAAGTTTCTTTGTTCAGTTAAAGGGATACTCCAGTTCCCAGCGAAATCTGAATCTTGTTTTGAACATAAGCTGTTTTCAGCCGAAGGCCTCCACTGCCGATTTGGCCGAGTGGTTAGTGCTCTGGCGGAAGAGGCCAGCCCTTGAGGGTTCAAAGCCGTCCCTCGGTCTTTTCTTTTTTCGTTTTTCCTTGTGAAACTGAAACTCGTGGTCTACAAATAGTGATTCTAAAAAATCACTTTTAGGGCCGGAGTACACCTTAAAGTATTTTTCCTCTAAGTTAGTGAATAATTGAACCGATTCAACTTTTTGAGGATCCCTTTGATAGTTCACTAACGAGATTCAACTGTACTTTTAATAAGTGATTAAGTCAATTTCCCCTAATTTCCTTGTATTCATAAAAGTTTCCCTTCTCATTCTCTAGAAAAGTTACAAGGCGACAAATCTTGCGTGTAAATATTCTTGACAACATTGCGAAAAAAGAGAAGTGAAACTTGTTGAGCCCTCGAGTCGATGCCATTTCCGTTTTCACAAGAAAAAGAAATGATTTTTCTTGGGAAAGTCAATAGTCACACCTTGGCCTCTTTTTGGCCTAGTTTTTACTCTCTTTTAGGACATTTCTTTTGAATGAAAAGAGAGAAATTCGAAATTTTGCACACTTCATTGCATCATTGACACCAGATTGAGAGAGTTTTTTTTTGTGGTAACAGGAAATACGCAAACGAGAATCATTCAATGAAGAAAGGTAAAAGAAGGACAAGCACAGATGATATTAGGTTGTATCAGCTAATAGGAGTCCAAGTTTCGTAGACAGTTTCCAACCGTGGCCTAGAAGCTGTTCAGGCCAAGCCAGGCCAAGCCAAATAAGAACCATTACAATTAACACATTTTTACCAATGAGAAACAAGTTTATTTATGTCGGTAGCATAGAAATCATGGCTTCTAGAGGGGATAAAGTCGGCGAAGACGTTTTTTGGCATCGTCTTGAGTTTTGAAGAATTTCTCCCGGAGAAAGTTGTCCAGGTGCTTGATTTTCAATAATAATAATATCAATAATAATAATTTTCATTTCCGAAACTCT